TTTTGACGTGCATTTCATCAAAGACTATGCTGCAGGCCCGATCGGCTCGAGGAAAAGAAGCTGTCCGCCTCTTTATCAGCTCGAAAATGCCAGGGTAAAATCCAATCTTTAGTGGCAACCGCTGAAGCCATAGCTGCAGTGACCTTACTGATGGCAGCCCGAGCAGTCGCCTGCAACACTTATAGTCTTTGGGGCTATGAAGGTAGAGGCCTAAAGCCAAGGCTTTGTTGTGGCTGCACCATCTCTGGCCAAACCGGCTCACATTGCTCATTCTAAGCTGGGCTTCAACGAGTGCGGCGACACGAGGAGACACATAAACGCGGACACTCTCAACGACTTCGGCAACAGTCCTCATCTGACGTTGTCGTTGCAGCCTTCTTTGCAGCCTCTTGTTACCCTCTTGAAGCTGTCGCACCTTGGCTCTCAGGCGTTCACCTTCTTGTTGCCGATGCTGCGGCTTTTGCAGGGTGCTGCAATTTGGCAAATGACCCAGATTAGGTCTCCAAGAAAAACTTGCATTCGCCATCAATTTATTAAATATGTAATCTATTCACGCTCAAGAACATTCCTCAATGATCTGAAGTGTCTTTAAACAAGAACCGCAAGTTTGACAAACTACACATGCAATTCAAGTTTAGGAAAGCAACAGTACACCTTTATGTTGGACTAGGCGCTTCATGTTGGCCAGAGACCTGATAGTCCAAAAAAACAAGAGCGCACACAGAAACATGCAAGTCAGAATAGGCATCCAAACTGTGAAATGCATTTTCTTAAAGCTTGACCATACCTTACTTATGCCCATGGCATTGTAACAGTGAAGCGCTCGCACAACAACAGGCGGCTAAAGTTTGGCAGATAGGACAAGGGACCATGACAGGCTCAGCATCACACACATATGACCACGGTAGCTTTTCGATAACTTTAAAAAACACTGTCTTACATGAGGTTTTGCGGGAAGACTTATGATTAAGTGAAACCGGTTCAGCTGTTTTGATTTGACGGTGTTAACACCTGCGTGTGGAACATTTTTTTTTTGTCTTTTTGTGTGCTTGACAATGACAATACCGTGAAACAAAAATGTGGTGAACTTTGAACAAACTTCGATTTGTAGCTGCCAGCTAGTCGGTCTGGTGTTATGTGACCCTTTGCGTCATCTGCTCTCAAGATAAAGTTTATTATCCCCTGGTGTTTTTCGAGCCTTGGCTTTTTATTTTTGCGGCCTGATCTTTTATAGCTTCACAAAAAAAAAAAAACTGCAAAGGGAAAAAGTTTGCATCATAGAAAGCACTCACATTTGTGAGAACGCCCAGCAGCACAGCCAGAGAGAGTCTCTAGGCGATGGTGAAGAAACCAAAATCTCCATGTCAGCCACGTCGCCGATGGACTCTTGAGCAGGAGCAGCATCTTGACGTAGAGCGTAGCTGTGATCAACCACAAAAAAAAAGAAAGAAAGAAAGAAAAGCTTTTGTAAAAACTGCAAGTAGGAAAGCAAGTTCAACAGAGTGGAAAGTTGGACGAGTTGGTCGTTCATTTAAGATGGTAGAAACAGTGCCTCTCTTTGTACTTTTACAGCGCCTGTCTGTATACTCCTTGTTTCCTGTTTTACGTCAAGCCGCGCTGTTTCTGCTACTTGAGAAAGCAAGCTCACAAAGAAAAGGGAATAAAAAAGATAGCACAAGCAATATTCGGCCACCACTTATTATTGGCCCCTAGTCGACTGCTCTCTAGTAAGGTGCACAAGTATGTGTAGTTCAATGAAGCCACAGAAATCCGCTCTGCAAATTTAACGTGAACTTAGCAAAGGAGAAGAGGAAGTCCTCCCTTATTCCCCTATTTGAATGCATAAAAAGTATATTCACCTTCTTTTATGACAGGTTTAATTCAGAGGACTGGTCGTCAGGGTGACTACAGAAACTCCACCAGTCTGAGTGGCCGGAGTATGTGCAGCTCGATGAGGCTGGCGAAATCCTCTCTGCAAATTTAGCGTGAAGTTGGCCATGGAATAGTAGTTGAGTTCCTTCCTCTGTGTCTATTCTAACACACGACAAAGAAAATCACCTTGTTCCCACGAAAGTTTCATTTCGGAAGACTGGTCGTCAGGGTGACTACAGAAGCTCCGTGAGTCTGAACTGCCGAAGCATGTGTAGGTCAATGAGGGTGTCACACTCACCTCTGCAAATTTATGGTGAATTCGCCTATTTTAACACAAAATGTAAATCACTTTCTTTCATGGGCAGCTTTATTATGGAAAACTGGGTGTCGGCACGGCAAAAGATGCTCTGTGACGTTGATTATGTCACTTCAAGTAAAACATGTCATTATAAACGGGCCTGAAATGAACTTCTAGCAGTACCTCTGTCCATGTTCAACCAGCTTTTTCCAGCTAATCTCCCCTAGTTCTTTTGCAAAATGCTCAAGTCATGAAGACCATGAGGTAATTCAGTGGTGCTGGCAGTTGCTGCCACTTTATCTTAGTTTAAATGAAAAAGCTCACCATGCAAAACTGCTGAACCTGGAGAGCTTTTGCTGGAAATGTCGCCATGTGTCGTCCCTGCAAATAATATAAAAATGTTATGAGCCCACAAAAGCAATATTTCAACCCCATGTGGTAACCATTTTTCTAAGAGCGGGTTAACCATGCTTTGTCACAAAGTGCACGGAAGGTTTATTGGTCTGCTTACTTTTTGTGGGAAGCACACTTGGCAACGCATTGTGACGGAGGTGTCCAGGGCGCAGGAGAGATGACTCTTCGAAATGTAAGGAGCAAACTACCCTGTCTCGTAGCTGCCATGGAGTCTTCCCCTGTAGACTTCGGTTGTTGCAGAACCGAACCCAGGCTTCGCGCCTGCAGATAAGGCATGGTGCTATGAGGGTGCCATGAATACTTACGGAAAGAAAATGTAGCCAAAATGTCCACAAACCAAAGCAAATCAGTGCAAGGACCTTAACAAATGCATGACATCGCTGCTCTGTGTACATCATGAAGAGTAAAAACACGAGTCTTACGCACAGGTGCCCTATTATATATCGGTGTTGTACCACTGATAACAACGCCGATGATCACGACACTAGGCTCCTCAGAGCAAGGCCGGTACAGGTAAATTTTAATATCGTGGGCACTTTTATAATGACGGCACACAACGCTGCGAAGTCAGAGTGATTTCGAACTTAAAACATTCCTAGTATAACATAATACGCCTTCAGGTGTAGTTTCTTGTGCACATCCAGACAACCCTAATAGTTTTAGGTAAAACTAACAAGAGTTAAGAGGAGACCGAACAAGGGGCATACATCACACCGCAGGCATGTCACAGACTGTAGCGAAGTCTCACCTTCGAGAGTCGATGGGAAACCGGTGCAGCGAGATGCCAGCCGTGCGGGTGTTGCTTTCACACATTTCCACGGAGCACAGTTTCTTTGCGTATCGCGCTGTGCTCATCGTCGCAAAAGACGTTGAGCCCCTTGGGCGCAGTAGCGTCCAAGATCCAAGCGCACGACAGCCGAGTTCCCGCGCAGGTAACCGGGCTAATCACGCCCGAGCAAACAACAAAACTCCCGAAACGGTGTTAACTGCCGCTAAAAAAATTAAAAGCGAAGAGCACATGGAGGCCCAAACACAAGCAAGCAGACGGACGTCAGCAGACTGCCCTTCCGCGCGCCACGAGGTCTACAAAAAATTGCAAATATCGCTATTGCTAGTCGGCCTTTTTGCTAGTGGCGTACAGAGGACGCTAATAAGAAGTATGCATAATATTAGCAAAAACAAAGACAGTTTTGAATTTCGTTACGCGTTAAATATGATTGATATTATCTAATAATTATATTTAGGTTGTTTAAAAATACCAATGATTATACTTCTAGTCACAAACTAATTAATTTTAATAATGTTTGTCCCCACCTCTCCTAGTCGCGCTTCAATCGCATCCTTCACGTGACCCTCCAGGTCGATGTCGCTGGCGATTTGTTTTGAACCGCTTTTTGGCCGAAGCTTCGCTACCCATGTACATATACCTTGGAACTTCTGTTCGCGCACCCCAGCACACAGCAACCGCCCATTTTTTCAAATGAGCGCGGGAGCGCCGCAAGGCCCGCTCTCAACTTTTTTTTTTTTTCTTCGTCACTCGGGCTCCAGTCGATCTCGCCGCACTGGCCGCACTACGCAGTTCGCTTTGCCCTGGTTTGAAACGCATGTTCGTTTATTCTACCGTTGAATATGGGCGTGACGACAACCTAACATGCGCCAAGTTTTCAGTCACTGAGAGTCACACCTTTTCACTCTAGCGACGCTAAAACGGCTTAAATTAGTCGTGTCACAAATTTAGAGCACACGACCACCGCTAGGGGCAGTTTCGCGGCCTGTGGTTGGCTCTGAGATGCTCGCCTATTCAAACCAACGTATGGCCAAACTCTCCCAATAAACGGCTCTGCGCTACTCTGCTCCGAAGGAGCTATATAGTGCTCTAGGTGTCGGCGCACGGGATTTGCCACTCCTCCTCACCTACCTTTACCCCCCTGCTTCACAGAGTCCCAACTTCTGGCTCCTCTAGTTTCCGTGGGCTGTCAAGCTGTGGAGCGCCTGCAGCAAAATAGGCGTCTGCTATAAACAACACTGCTGTTGTGACGCCGCCAGGATCGCGGCCGCGCAAACATGCTTTAATGACGTCATCAGGTGGAACTCGAGGGACCACTTTTTTGACCACGCGGTCACCGGGGTAAAGGGGTAAACACGGTAAACACTCAGATGTACTACATCTGTTATATTAGGAAGTTACTAAGTTTTATAACATTAACTGAATTAATAACTGAGCTAAAAAAAAACGTGAAGAGTTTTAACTTGATATTTAGATGAATAAAGCTCACAAAATACTTCAAACTCTCACCGCTACGCGTTGGCACCCAAACATACGTATTGGGACGTCACAGAAATGGTTGTCCTCGGCAGCCCTTCATTGGCCACGGCTCGCGATGCCGACCAATAGAATCAGAGTTAACATCTCGCTGCGAGACACCACTATTCTGAATTTTGCTCGCCATCTTGGATACTGGCGAGGACTCTTGAAGAAAGAAAACCACCCAAAACGATCAAGATATACGCCTTTAAATTCGCCTCAAGATGGAGGTTGTTAAAGCCTTCAACGGCGAGGTAAGCGATTTTTTCCCCTTTCGCGCCGAGAACGCGGACGCAGCCGATCGTTTCCGTCGTGTTTGCAACTGGCGTATGAGGCCTAACCGGCGTGTTTGCACGGCGGTGGATACTAGCCTCTCCGTTAAATAACCTTCAATCCCCGCCGTCACGCTTTTCTTGTTCGTACTGAAGCCGTCCCTAACGGAGTGAATGAACCTCGCTTTCATAATGTCCCCAAGCGCCGGCGTGACTGCAAATACGTCGTCGCAATCGGAGAGCAGAGATGTGATCGCGCTCTGTTCGCCGAGTGGACATCGGAAGGTTCGCGTCAACTATCTGCGATCGTTTCGGCTCAGCATTCCAAAAGCTGCACGCGCACGCCGGTGACGTTCCTTTGCCGGACAACACGCTTTATTTGTAACGTCTCTTAAGTCGCCACCTGCTCGTTTAGGTCGTTTGTGCGCGGTTCTGTGTTCGCGCCGAACGCCGACGACTTGTGATCCGATTGCGAAATGCGGAGGTGCTTCTTGTCTGTCGTCTTTACCGATGAGTTTGGTGAACTAATCATCGCTTATCGCACGTCTCGACAAGCGAATTAATTGTTACCGCCTCTGTTGGTACGCATCTCGTTTTTGCGTGGTGTTCATTCATTGAAATAAACTAGTTACAGCTGTTCTTTGAATTTCTTTGTGCAAATATAGTTGACGCTAATAGATTTGAATTAGTAAAACTAAAAAAAAAAAAAAAAGAAAGGAAAATAGGGTGTTTAGCGTTGTTCAGATTGCTGTCCATGTTGATCTCTATTTAACACCAACGTTCGTTCTATACAGTGCAGTAGCGAAATTGACGTCCTTGATTTACATGAAGAACCAGGAATGCTTTTGTGACTTTAAGTATATTACTTGCGACTCATCTGCGGTTTCATTGCAACTTGTCACAGATGCTACGCAAAGTGCACATTATCCCTGTGTCACTGTGTTTGTGGTAGCGCAGTACAAGACTGCATGCATGCATGGCTTACTTTTCAATAGGGAATAGGCCAGGCAATTTTAGCAATCAATGACTTGTATTGATGTAGCGTCTGGAAAGCTATTGCGTTACCCTCTGCAAACATTCCTTCTCCAGTGTTATTTTTTTGTCTTAGAAGTGTCGCTTGAGGGAAAGTGATAAGCAGGAATGACCACTGACACTTTGCAATGGTGTTTCCCGAAACGTTTGACAACATTGCTCCGATCGACAAATTGAAACATCCTGAACACCCTGCATCGGCTCATTCTGCTTCTTTTCCCTGCAGCTTTCCTCGCTGTATGAAGGCAAGCCTCCCATCTCGAAAGCCAAGATGACAGCAATTACAAAGTCTGCCATCAAGGGCATCAAATTCTACAAACACATAGTTCAGAGCGTGGAGAAGTTCGTTCAGAAGGTACGTGGGCCTACTACCTAACTTTCCGTTTTCCTGTGGGGAGGGTCGGTGACTCGATTGACGGCGAGCTGGTCACTATAGGCATGCGTAAAGAGGGTACGACAGCTGAGCAGCTTCGCGTTTTCATTCATCGAGTGCCTCAGAAAGTGATCTGAACAGTAGAGTATTTATATTGGTTACCTTGCAGCCACTGCTCGGCTGTGTAACGAGCTTGGTGCTTGAACATTGCTTTTCTATTTTCGTTTGCTCACATGCTTGCATTTCAGAGTGTAGAATATCTATGACGACGTGAAGGCATCTTTTTTTTATTATTAAGGCATGGCTGATAATTTTTTTATGAATTTACTTTGTTTACACAGTTGAAATGACATTACATCCTTGTGACAGTATTGTATGTCAAAAACAAGACAATAACCACACGATAATCAAAAAACGAGAAATGCAAGACATACAGAAATGTAGCATATTTAAGCAAAAGTTAACATATTTCTCTTTTATTGCTGAGAACACAACAAGTGAATTGTAACTGGTGAATGATTCAAAAGAGTAGAACTGTAACAGTAAATTGCAGAGCTCCTTTGGGGTGTGTCGAGTGTTAGCCGGAAGCTGCTTCTGCGGCCGAGATTGATGCCTCTCTCTCATCCTGTTCCGTTGCAGTGCCGGCCCGAGTACAAGGTTCCAGGCCTGTACGTTGTGGACTCGATTGTGCGCCAGTCGCGGCACCAGTTTGGCCAGGAGAAGGATGTGTTCGCACCCCGGTTCACCAAGAACATCCACAACACCTTCCAGCACCTCTTCAAGTGCCCCGTGGAGGACAGAGTAAGGGCACGCCGACGTTTTGCTCATCTTCCACAACCTGTGGTCTTTAGACTTCCCGTCCTGGAATCTTCCTAGGGACAAATAAAAGCACCGGAGGCACGCTGCCGATGTTAGGAGTCAACCAATCGGATCGCTCGCAACACCTAAAGAAACATTTTTTTTTTATTTTTATCTAAATCAGTGCCATTTAGTGGTGACAGGATTAACTGTTGTAAAATCCCGTAAGGGCACCCAACCAAAATGAAGAGAAAAATGGCGAAAAACATGAGGTGGGCTATCTTTGGGGATGAGGCAGCAAAACTTTATCAGAAATTAATGATAAACATAAGGGGCACCCGCTACAAACCACGCAACACAGGAGCCGATACCGCAGATTGCGCAGTTGATTCGATTCCCGTTGGCGTGAGGTCGGACGGGAATAGGAGTTGGGTGACATTCCTGACTTTTTACGTTACAGACATTTAACCAGAAAAACAGGATGTCTGATCTCTTGGGGGAGGGTGCTTTCACGGGATTTTATGGTATATTCATGGGCAACTTTCTGTGGCAGTTCACAAGAATTGAAGAGTGCTTGTGCATAGCCTTGATCGGTGCCTGTGTGCCTATAGCTTTTGACTGCATAGACCCCGTGTATATAGGGCAGGAACCGCCCATGTTTTAAGGCCAGTAAGTAGCCTATGTTAAGGACTGTGATGCAGGGTAAGCATGAACAAACATTCAGTCGACACTTGGCAGGCCGAACGTTGCGAAGACTTGCACGTGAGGCTGGTTCGCATATTTGCGTTTGAACTGAATAGAAGGTTTCGCAGTATCTTAGAGCTCAAATCGGTGCCCTACCTATGAAAAATGGTTGCATCTAACACTGTCAGAATTATTTCGATGCTACGGCAAAAGAATGACGCGTGAAAAATTACCCGACGGATAGTGCTGGTCTGTTTTCGTTGTCTTGGACAGTGGTGACTATTGACACGCAATCGGTCGCACTTGGATGCGAATGTGTGGATCAGATTTTATGCGGGCTCTAAGGTTTTGAGAGGTAAACTTTACGTAGCAGTGCTTTGGTCATTGCGTGTTGCGAGAGGTTCACTTCTCTTTCTTCCGCTCGCAGCCCAAGATTGTGCGGGTGCTCAACCTGTGGCAGAAGAACCAGGTGTTCCCCCCGGATGTCATCCAGCCGCTTTTGGACATGGCGAGCCCCAGTGCGGTGTTGGCGGCAGGTGAGCGTCACATTTTTGTCTACTCCTTCATCCCTGTTTGTTCGGCACTTCCATCCAAAGGTAAAGTGTCTCAATCCCGTGTCGCGCGAGTTAGGCTGGACCCAATTGACCCTGTTTTGCTGCGAAAACAGGGAGGCCGTAGTCGCCAGTGCCTTTGTTTTGACGATTTTTGTTTAAAATGCTTTCTAATCGGGTTGTATGGACATGCAATCAGGACCACCCTAGTCTTGCTCAAAGCAACCATTCGCTACGTCTCAGGCAAGAAAACCTAAATTTTTGATCGTGGACATACTATTTGCAAGCCAAAGAAAGTCTGATTAAAATAAAAATTAAAAGGCGATATAAAATAAAAAAATCCTCTAAGTCCGGCAAGTGGTATATTAATGTCCCTGTTCTCTGAACATCCCACTTCAAGAAAAAAAACAAGTTCCTTTTCCTCCAGACCTCACGAGGTAAGCCCTAAAACAAAACTCTCCACGGACTCATAACGGGGTAGCTAAGAGGTCATAATTTCGCTATAAACATGATCATCGGGCTTCCAACAGGGTCGGGAAGAGCAAGGTGTGGCATGGTCACTTCGGACGGCGAGGCCGACATCAAACAAAATGAAGGAGATATATATAACTGGCGAATGACTAAGGAGGCAGGCGGGACGGTTGAAGTTGCACATTAAAAACCCTAAGTGAAGGACGACACAGCAAAATGGGGCACGCACAACGGGTCTTGACCGAGACCGGTCGTTTGTGTCCCCTTTGTGTCACACTTTGTCTCGGGCTTTCAATGTGGGAAGCATTATTTTACCACCCTACAACAGTCCCGTACAAGAAATAGTGAAACAAGTACAAACAACCGAATAGAATGCTTTATTGTTTGCCACCCACGCTGGCGTGAGCTTAAGGCGCAGATAGGGCCTTATACTTTTCACAATTACCCCATTTGACGTGACATCTGACGCACAGGGGACATGAGCGAGGGGCCCGACATGGGCCTGGACTCGAAGCCCCCCAGCAAGGCGGCGATGGACCAGATGGCCTCCTGGAAGGGCTGGAACCTGGGAGGCAACAGCGTCCAGGACAATGCCTCCGCCCCTCCACAGGAGACCAAGACCTACGCCCTGACGCAGGTGAGCGGGCGCACTTAAGTCGGAGATCACGGCGAGCCCGGTCTAGAACGAGGTCACAAGTCGACCTAGGTCGCGCACGTCGTGCGAGAACTCGGATTTGGAAGGGAGCAGAGCACGATGGACGTGAGCGTCTTCTATTAGAAGTAACGGGCATGAGCCATATCAGAACGGAGAAAGGAGCTCGATGTAGGGGAAACAAACTGTAGCGAAGTTGCAAGTTGGGTTAGCCGGCGTGCAAAGGAACGGGGAAATTTTAGACGAGGGCTGCACCTACCTACTCCTGCTTCTGGTGACTCGAGTCTGTTGTGGGCTACGCAGGTCCTTAGAAAGACGCGTGTGTGACACCGCACGCGCATCGTTGTTGTCGCCGACTTTGGAAGAATATGGCGCGAGATAAAAGAAGAAAAGCATTGCCTTATGGAAGTACGGAATCTGGCAATGTGAGCTGGCCCGGCGGCGTTCGGGCCGGGGCGGCATAAAGGTTGTGCGGGGAGCCTGGGTAAAGAGGTAAGAATGGACTGCCACGTTTTGTATTGCTGTAGTGTGGCATTTGGTTTTATCGCTGGGGTGTGCCGGAGGCACTTCCTGTAGCATTTTACCCCTTTTTTTTGGCAGGCACTAAACTGGGCCAGCTCATGTTGTTTTGGATAGAAAAGGGTAGACGAATGTAGAAAATAAATGTTTAATTAGACAAAGTTGTGCCTGTGAACTTGGAGGAAAAAATACAACGCATCTTGCGTCGGCGATGGAAGGGCGACGGCCCCGAAGCAGCATGTTAGTGCTGCTCTTATGTTCGCTGTACGTTCGGAAGTGTTCCGAACCAGTACACTCGATCACAGCCGAGAATGGGTCGAAAGAGTTCCGATTAATAAAAGCCAGGTATTGTCCTGGCAGGGTTTGATCCCATTTTTTCCGCATGGCAGCTGCAAGCATTGCCAACTTTGCCAAGCCTGCAGCAGTACTCCATCCCACTGTACCTCCAGCAAACCCTGCGTACTATATTCTTTTGATTTAGTGCTGATTGTCTGTCTTTTGTGAGAAAGCGAGCATACATTCTGTGTGCTGGGTAGGAGTTAGCGAAGCCGAGGGACAGTTGCTGTGGTACCATACTCAGCCGAGCGTACCTTGACCTTCCCAGGAGAACTTGAACCTAGCCCTGGCGGCAGAGGCGGAAGGCGCGAGCGCCCCGGACCCCGAGATGCTGGTGAAGCTCCAGAGCCTGGCGTCGCAGCTGCTGGGGGCGAGAGCGCTGGGAAGCGGGAACGCCATTGCCGAAGAGAAGCCCAGTCAGCCCTCGGCCCCGGCCGTCAAGTTCAACAAGGTACCAGGGCCGCAGAGTAGCTGAGCAAAAGTACTGAAGGGCAGCGTAATCAGTTCTTCCTATTAATGTTCAGTAAATGCTACTTGGTTCCGTTGACATAGATGCGAATTGACATTGATTTAGTACTCAATCAAAAGGAAGCTGTGTCCACAACTTTTCTGCAGTAGGAACCGGGCTGTTGGGTCAGCTGCCGCACCTCGATATCGTGGGATATTTTAAAACTAATTGAGATTTAGCTTGGTCACTTCTTTTTGCTACTAACTCTAGGTCTAATAACAATACATTTATTAGAATGTTACTGCATTTGTAACTCAATTACATCTGGAGTAAGAAAGGTATGGCTTTAGCTGTAGTAAAAAAGGTGCGGGCTCCAGCAGAACTACGGTTTATTATGGCACATACTCCGGAAGCTAGTGTCAGTGCAATTCACAAACTTCCAATTCAATGTTTGTGCTGCAAATCGAGGAACAGGGTTGAGAGTGGTATGAAAACGGGTGCCAGTATTCACTTTTCGTTCTTGCTCTCCCAGAAACTGCTGGACTTTGACTACGGGGACGAAGAGGAAGAGGAGGAGGAGGAACCCGTGGAGGAAACGAGCACCCTGGCCCCGCCCGAGACAAACCTGGAGGACTCCGGAGGACGGCCGTCAGAACCCAATGCTCTGGCACTCAGGTGAGTCGGCAGCCCGGTGACCATGGCTCGGACCCGAGGCTTCTAAAAGGGCTCTAGCCTCTGCTCGCCTAGCCTCTGCTCTTAGAATACGGAGTCAAGGTGCCAGCCGCTGAGCTTCCAATTTGAACTGCCTCTGTGGCGTTGGGATTTCGTTTCGGCCTCCGGAGCGGGAGGAGTAGGGTTCAAACCCTGGGTGGTCCCTTCCCCAGGGAATCTTTGAGGTGTTACTTATAGCATAAGTTGCCATGTGAGATAAAACCTCAGTATTTCCTTTTTTACAGCAATGGCTGTTATTGGCTCATCCCACTACTGGTAATGGTTCCCGTTGTTGGTGGGATAGTTGGCGATGTTAGGGCGTTCGTCGCTCTCTCACATGCTCCAGAACAAAAAAAAAAAAAAAAAAAAAAAAGCATTCGAAATTTGTTGTACCCGATGCCCACTGCACGCGCTGTGTACAAAAATACGGAGAAATATACGATAACAAAATGCCGTACCTAGGACCGTCAATGCTAAGAGCTCATTGACGGGAGACGCGCATTCACGCGGTCCAGAAAAAGAAACGAAAATGTTTGAAACAAATTGGTCGGATGTCTATTTTGTTCCGGACGCTTTTGTTGATGCATCCACTGGTGCGTGAATGCGACGCCGATGCCCAACAGTTTTGCTGGGACGTGTCGCAGCTATTGTTGTGACTCTACTGTAGATTAACACAAAACTGCCCAACTTTTTTTTTTTTTTTTCCTGTATTTGTTGTGGAATACAAAATCAAAGTGAAACTGGACGACCACATCAGATGACTCGACGTTGGAAACCCCAGAAGTCACGTGGATCGTTTGATTCCCTGCAACTGTGCGCTTATAGGTTCGGTGGTCTTAAAAGTTGTGTTTTATATAGATTCCAATACAGTAATCTTTCGCTATAACAAAGTCAGTGGGACGACAAAAAAAATTTGATACAAGTGGTAACTCGAGAGAGCCAAGAAAACAGTGCCAGCAGCCTTGAAGGTAGACGGGAACACTACGATACACTTCGACTGTATATTTAATCAAACAAGCCTTCATTATGAACATCTCGTGGCAGCTTTACTGAGTAAAAATATAATTAAGTTGAGTTTGCCGATTATTTCATCCGGGCATCAGTTCTCCTCATCTCCTCGAACTGCTTCAGGCATCGCAAGAACACAGTCACGGTTGCTGCACTCCACTTGGTTTCGAAGCAGTCGTAGGATGTTTCACGTCTCCGCAGCCATTGCGTTTCCTGAGGTGCTTCCCCGACGTTGCTTCATGTTTACCCTGTCCGCTCGCAGGGTCTACGATTTCAGTATCCAGGGCAGGAGCAACAATGGGACCGTCCGCATTGACAAGTGCGAACGAATCAAAGTTGTCCTCGGTGGCATTGCCAACATGTTTTCACACGCTCTTGTAGAGAGTTTTACAGCTCTTGGAATCATGCGCCAGCTCGGCAACCATGCTCACAAACGAAGATCCATTGGCGTTCTTTCATTTTCGGTTTGAGAGGCTTCTCTTGCATGAGAAGCTTCTCGAACCCGTCCAATACCTTGCTTGTTCTGCAAAATGGTGGACAGTGTCGAACAGCCGATGCCGGAATGTTGAATTCTTTGGCCATTTCAGACTAGGGCCAGCCACGTTTCTTAACCTCACAGGTCAAAGCGACTTTTAGGAAACACTCCCAATCTCCCATACAGTGTACGTGCGCATATGGTACGCCGTAAGTGTGCCCGCGCAGGTGCACGTCGGTGACCTTCAAAGGGATGATTTTCTCTAGGCTCCATTGCTCCCTTGACCCGATTCCACGTCGGGCAGCGTCGGCCATGGCTGTCATGAGTAGCGGTGGAACGTGGACGCTGCGCCAATGCGCTGCTGCTCCCTGTCCGCATTGGCGCATCGGCATCGCAAGCGGCGTTCTGTGCGGCGCGCTGTGCCCTCCGTCACCCGTTTACTCTGTTTCCTTGTTTGCCGTCTTCCCAGTTTGCCGTTTGCCTCGGTGAAGAAGGGGGAGGGAATGCAAGGGTGTCCGTGCGCCCCAGTGTAAATTTGCGTGCTTTTAGCAGCGTGACCTTCGTAATAAGCGTGAAGGGGGCGCCGATACACTTAAAATAATCCGGTTAAAAATGTATGCATTTCGGTTGGGACCATGTTGAACATAGATAAAAGCGATAATTTGTAAAAAGCGATTTCATTGTAACGAGGTATGACTGTATACTTTATTAATAATGTGCTCAGTCATGCGACTCTGCCACCAATCCACTATGGGCCTCGAAGCAACTCTCTGAGGGAATTGTCGTTGAATGAGCTGACAGCAACCCTCTTAAAGCTCGAAATATTTATACATGTATAGATTTTAGAATAAAGTTTCCCTTCTGGTAAATACGCTTGAAAGGCAAAAACTCGAGGAGGGGGATTAAGCGTTTTGCAACTGAGTGCAGAAGTGCTGTGGGAAGAATGGTGCACGCTTCTCGCACTACTTTGCCTGAAAAGACCCATCACACTCTTTATTCCCTTCTCTCGCCTGCCAGCATGGCTCAGAACCTGCTGAACAATCCGGAGTTGCTGAAGCAGCTGCAGCAGATGCAGCAGACCCTTCAGCAGACGGAGGTGCTCAGGGGCTCGGAGACGTCGGCCGCCCCCGCGGCCCCTTCGTCGCTCGGCACAGCCGCGCTCCCCCAGTGCTCGGAGACTGGCAAGGCGCCCTCCCCTCATCCGCAGACCCCGCAGGTGAGGCCCCCTTCACCGGGCACAAGCCTTTTCTCGTAGAAACGGGGACCATACGGGGCTTGCACTGACATCAAAATGGCAGCCACGTGGGTGCTTGCTTTTAGTGCGTACGTTCTGCAACATACATTTCGCATCGTCGAATTTGTTGTTCTCGGCAAAAACAAAGGGTGACCACCGGCGTGATGGGGTGACGTCGTGTGCAAGTGATGTATAGACTTTTTTCATGCGGGTGTCTTCATTTTGAAAGGAAAAACTTCTGGTATGCAGGAAAACATTGTTTTGCTCTCGCTACGCCCCTGGAGAGTTTTCGTTGCAGACGTAGCTTATTTTATACTATTTCTGCTTTCCCTTGGCTTTTCGGTGTACATCTAATGTGCAACATCGGCAGGTGTGGAGAAACAAGCGTGGGCTCAATAAATGATACCGGACTCGGAAGTTGGAGATCCTGTAAGCACTAGGGTCCCTGCCTCAATCAAGCGGCCGGGATTGCAGGTCGATGCAAACCAATGCATTCTATTGTAACCCTTAAAAGAGAGGAGCCAACTGAAGAAACTCTGGAAGAGGTGTAAAGGAAAACCAATCTCACTGAAGGGCCGCCCTGTTCAATGAGATTGGTCGGGAAAGGGGGGGTGGAATGCAGGCTTTTCCAAAGAGGTCATCCTATGCTATGTTCACCTTTAAGCTGGCATTGCGGTGGAAAATAAGTGCTCATTAGATTAGTTGTTTCGTCTATCTTTTGCCACGTGGGGTCAGGTGATAAAATAAAAGTTGTTGATTGATCTGATGAGGGCATATCTCTCACTGCATGGTCATCTTAGGGGTGAATGGAGTATAGCTCAAGTGAAAATTAGCAGTGGGGCAACCCATCATGGTCAAGCAGGTGGAGGTTTTGTCTATTATTATTAAAGGAACCATTAAATGACCTTTTTATTTTTGCCAAATAACTTTTACATTAAACTTTCAATGTTCACTTAACGCCGAACAGGCATCCGTTTTCGTTTCGGTTTATTAACTTCTACATGAAAGTTATCGACATGTCGAGTTTTTCTTCCTCTCCAACTCACCGCAAAACAAGCCGCGGCGTAATTTGGACGGTTGTGACATACTTTGTCACCGGAACCGGAAGTTCTCTCGTCAGTAGGAGAATGGGAATGTGAGCGTTGAGCTGGCGGTGTGCCGGTAGGTTTCACCACAGGGTTTCACTGCGCTGATGGCGCCGATGCCACCGACATATTTTCTGAATCGGCGCCTCATCACCGCGATAGCCATGGGCACATCGCAGCTGCGTGAAATTCAGTTAGATATGTTGCACTACAGCTACAGCACGAAACTGGTCCTATACCCTGGTACGCCTTTTGGAAAGTATGCTGACTCTTCCGACGAAGGCTTCAGTTCCTCGTCGGAATCAGATAAGGAGTGGCGACTCCAATGTACGGAATGTTTCAAGCACACTCGGATGACCTTATACCTGGGGTCCCTCAAACCGATGAGCCTGCACCAGGTGCTTCAACGTGGTTCCTTGAGTGGCAAGTAGTGAAACTGCAACTGTTCCTTTTTGAGCTCCGGACTGCACAAACTGAAATTCGGGCACTTGCAACGACCGCGTTAGCTACGACTTTGTTCGTTGTGACCAGAGCGACTGAAACAACCGCTCTGCGCCATGCGTACACACTTCTGCATCCACTGCAAGAAGCGCAACAAGTCGTCAGCCCAACAGCCGCTTCTCCTCTGCCGTCAGCCGTTTCGGTTATCGCTAAAAAGAAGGCAATGCACTGTCGCTCAATGGTGTAGCAGGAAATGCACAGAGTTTTTTTATCTATTGAATCAAGCTTTATTAACTTTTATTATCAGGATAGGCTCACAGGGCAGAGTGGATAAAAAGAAAAAGCAAAGAAAAAGATGCATTATGCCGTCTGCGACAATCACGACTTTAAAACGAAACTTGACTGATAGTAAAAATCTCGCCGCACGCCTTTTCTATGATTGCAAAAGACAATGTAATCTTGGCAGAGATATAGCAACATAGAAATGTGATTTCGTGATCACATAGACATTGTGATCGTTCAGGAATGCTTTTCACTAATCATTTTTCTTGGGTGATGAAAATGTGTCGAAATTCGCACAAGCGTTTCCGCTGTCTTGAGGGTGCTGCCACAACATCGCCGCACGAGTATTTATTTATTTATTTCAGTACCTTCAAGGCCCGGGGGGCGTTACAGAGGGGAGTGGTGGAAAACATAAAAACAAACAGGTAGTAAATTCAGAAATTAAACAGAGAATGAAAAATGTAGACAACGCCGAGTAGATGGATCTTCCCTTCTAGGACGTGCTGGGTTATCGTCGCGACACACGACGAAAGTTCAGTCAAGGATAGCGCTCTACGCGGAACAATGAGCTTCCACCACGCCTACCACGTCAACATTCAGCAGAGAGCAGGAACTGTGAAATAGCGCAAGCGCAGTCTTAACTTTCTCTTGCTTTGTTTACCCCACGATGGATGGCGCATAGCTTCGAGCATTACAAAATTTGGCAATTTCTGTCACATCGCTAATTCAACAAAATGTGGATCAGACGATAATGTTATGAAGAAACATTTGCCGGCTATTTATTGTTTATGATCGCGGTGCTGGTGAGGTAGGCCCTTATCCAATAGGAGACGTGAATTTGGTTGACGTGCATTCGCACCGTTGATGCATCGCAGTGAAAAGTTATAAATGCACATAAACATGGGATTTGTTTTTTTTATATATACAGGAAAAAAAAAAAAATTGTTTGATGGTATTTGAATATTGTCGTCTGGCACCCTTGAGATCCTCAAATTACCCTCGAATGTTGGGTCGAAAGTACCGCAGGAATCCCCGTAGCAGAAAAGTATGGACTTGGCGTAATGTGGTGAAAAAACGGGGGAAAACCATTGACCACAGCTGAGAGGACCCTGCGTTAATTTTCCGTCTGTCTGTCTGTGCTAGGTCAGATTTCCGTCCCCTCGCTCGAAATTGTTTTACACTATACTGGGCATCTCGGGTCATTCAGGGGCCGGACGGGCAGCCGCTGGCGACGACTGCGGGGTACCTGACGGCCTCGGCCTCGGTGGTGAACTCCCTGGCGCCTGCGGTGAGCTCTGGGCTTTCCCAGCTTTTCCAGACAGACTTTGTGGGGGCCTCTGGTGCTCCTTTGCTGCCCGAATCTCTGAGCCAGCTGAACGTGAGTCCCGGCTGGCGTCCGCACCGCCTGGGCCTATTCATCCTAGAGTCACTCTAGATGCTCCCCAAGAGAGCAGGGTAGCGCAAACTCGAGCATTGTCTCTCGGCGACGGGCAGTAGACTGCACTGCGGACCCGAGTTTGCTCGTGATTGAAAGGAGGACGGGACAGAACAGGGTTTAGCTCGCTTTCCAGGGACTGTGCAGTACGAGAAACTGTTTTTAACGTTGAAAGTTTTGTTTTCAATCCAAAACAATCGGAGCGGCTGCGATCATGGTGACAACGTGCCTGGCTTCGAACGCCGTCGCGTCGAGATACGACGTCCTGCACAGCTACCTTAAAACAGCGAAACTTGCGGTCTCTTGTGCCCTTACAATAAAGGCCTTTGGACTCAGCATACCACACGTGCTTTCAACCCTTTCCAAAAGCGGACGAGAAACGGCCGCGAAACGTTTTATCTGCCCGAGTAAAAATTGTCTCGGCATCTCCCAAGGGCGTTTTAAATGCGTGGCATTTAGGACGCCTTTGCGCGCGTCTGCCCGAAAACGCAGTTTGTCGCGCACCGCACCAAGCAGATTGCCCGTCAACTGGCGCACTTACTGCCGGTTTGTCGCCGTGTGACGGCAACTGGCTTCATGTTGCTTGTGGCCCAGTACACTCGTTTTGCAGCTGCGTCCCTCGCTCCTCCCTCTTCACCTTGCTCTATCCTTGATCGTCGCTCCCGTGCCGCTTTGACAGTGCACAAATCTCGCAAGCTAGAGCCGGTGGCAGCAAAGCATGCTCCGCTTTGCTGCCACCGGGTGCGCACACCGAAGGAAGTCGCGCTCTATGAGCAGCCGCCGATTGCGCGCAGAGCGTGCAGTTTACAAATTGGACGCGAAACACAAAAGCGGCAAGAACTGGCCCTAAAAGTGCCCCGAATTTAAAAAGTTACGCACATGCAATAGCGTTTTTCATGTGGACATGCCTCACGGCTTTCATGTTTCTCACCATATCACCGGCGGCTGTCGATCTGCCTTTTCCAGATGCCCCTTTACCCGCCGGCGATGGCGATGCCTCAGGGAGTCCCCTACGGGGCCGGTGCAATAGGGCCGGACGCCGTGTCCCAGGGGTACCCGCCGGCCCCCCAAGGTGTGCTGGCCCCCCCCATGGGCGAGCTCTCCGGCCTGGAGGGCGTGCCCATGCCCCCCGCGGCTGGCGTGGCCCCACCCGCGTACCTGAGTGGGGGCGACATGGACGAGCGCTGCACTGTCTTGGCGCCCGGCGGAAGGGACCTGGACCTCAGGACAGGGGGTCTGTCCCCTCCCAGGGACAGGTGGGGATTCGCCGTCGTTTGCTAAGCTCTTCCGCAGCAGGCTGGTTTGGACCTACCGTGTTAGCACGATTGTGACGCGCCCCCAATTGTAGCTTGTGGGTATATTTAGCACTCAAATATTCTGCAAATAATTTGATGGCGGTTGTATTGTGCAGGTAAAAGAAAGGAAGGCTGAATACATACCTCGTACAACAGCTTCTGTGAAATGCACGCCAATATGAAAATAAATGCCGTGCACTAGTCGGCGTTTTCGGAGTTTGACGATGGTTTTTCGGTGTTCGCAAAGGTAATCCTTGCTTCCGTTTAAAGCATTTTAGGTGCCGCACTTCTTGCACTTGTACGAGTACGTGAACGCGACCTCTGGTCGTCTTCCAAACAACTTTGCAAGCTCGTCGGGTTGCTGGGATTGCGAGGCCATGCAGTGCTCCTCCGTTACATTTTCCCGCCAGCGTGATGGCCTCTCGTTTAAATAATGACTCCTAGTTGAATTCTTTTTTTCTTTTTCCATCTCAAGACAGCAGGTACGAGTCCTAGACGCGAGAGAATATGCGTGATATGTAGCTACGGGTACCAAAATGGTGAATGTAAACAAACGGTCTCGATAGTGATGGGGCTAGCCACATTATACCGAGTATTGCCTTATATGTCTCATTGTTCAGTCGACCTTCAAAGTCCTTGAGTGAAAACATGTCGGCCAGTGCTTAAAGTCTCCCGTAAGTTGAGGGTGGTTCTGACGCGATATACTAGATAAACATAAAATAAACCCGACTGCTGACTCTGCCCACGCTGTACCTGCAACCCTCAAATTGCTAGTCCCCAAATGTCCCATCCCTGAAAACAAGCTATTTTATTGCAAGATATGATTTTGATTTCACTAATGCCGGGGCTGTGGAGGAGGGTCTCAGACCACCCGTTAAAATCGGTGGGGGGTCCAAGGCCCCCGAGATCCCCCAGACTTTAAGCCCTGACGTCAGTGACACGAAAGGTACGAAAACATGTCGGCGACACGAAAGGTACGAAAACATGTCGGCGACACGAAAGGTACCAAAAGCCGGGGTTCGCCACTGGACCATCAGATGGCGTTACTTGTGCCAGAATCAGCAAAGGCACGCGCACGGCGCAAACTCAGCGAGAGAGGAGGACACACTCACTGGGCAGCGGAGAAGAGTGGGCGTGCGACATGCCGTGAGATTAACAGCCCCAAAAGTGCGTCGTCAGAGAGTGCGCTGTCTTCAAAGGTTTGCTATCACCGGGATCAGCACTTGGGCTTTTGATAATATAAGAGACCGAGTGATTTTTTTCTTTTTGAGTTTCGGTTTTTGGTTTTGATTGTGATGAGCATGTATTTTTGGGCACCGATTTCGGCGAAAAAAAGTGCATTACAATCGTGCAAACATGGTAGGATTTAGAGCACGACCGATTGTGTTAATGGCTTCTGCTGTTAACACAATCGCCGTGGCAACTGTCTTGCGTAAGCCTTCGTAACGTGAGGGATTGCGGTCAAACGCAAATGTCTGAACCTGCTTTTAGACTTACGCGGTATAAACCGAAGGAATAAAACGCCCAAGGGGACACAAGACAAAGAGACTCACTTTTTTTTTCAGGATTGGGTGGGTTGGGAAAGCACTGTTTTGTTGTATGCGTTTGCTAATGTCGAATTTCAGCCTGGTTGCTTTCTTCAAAGCAGCTTGGAAAGTGTTGCGAGTTTTTTTGTTCTTTTTTCCTTTAATGTTTTGTTTTTTCAGTTTTTATGACCTTCCCTGCATTCTGCTGTACAGTCAAACCTCAATGTAACGAAGTCGGTAAAATTCGGAATTTACTTCGTTACATTGAAATTTCGCTACATAGAAATTTGGGGCTAACAATAAAGAAAGTTTCCACAAAGGTTTCTCAAGTGCACAAAACTCACCGAGGACGCCTTTATTTCGATTGAAACTAGTCCGTCGCCATTTTCTGGGCCACTCTTGGCATTATTATTGGCGTCACACGACGTTCGCATAGCCAGACGACCTGCATCGCGTCTTCGTCTTGCTGTGTGCTTGCGAACCGCCTCAAGACGTTGATCGCATCTACCACTTCACGGTTTCCGGGCGCATCGCAGGTGTCTTTCTCATCAGGCTTGATGTCGTCCCCGTCTCGCGAGTTCCCACAAACATTGCTAGCTATCGCCTCGCCGATCACCTCCTCCGTCGCATGACAGCAGAATCGGCGAATAGAAAGTCGTCGAGGTCGACGTTGTTAGGGGTGGCTTCATCGCCTTCGAGGCTCCATCGCCCTGGACAACGAGAAACGCACGCTTTTAGTTAGGCCTCGAAACAAACTATGCAGCGTGAACGAAGCTGACAGACGAAACGGCAGCGGCTCTAGTGTCCTCTAGTGGCCGTTCTGTACACCCCACTCGCCAGATTCGGCCCGTTTCACCCTTCGAGCTTTGTCAAGGGCCCGTTAAAGCGCATGTTCTTCCCAAAATCTCCTTTGGGACCCAAAAGTGTTTGCCAAATTGTCCGTGAAACATTACATAGAAATTTCGGCAAACGGGTCTTCGTTACATAGAGGTCAAAAATACATGGCGTGCATACACTTGCGGTTAGAAAAAGTTGTGTACTTCATTACATCGAGGGTTTCGTTACATAGAAGTTTGTTACATTAAGGTTTGACTGTACTACAGAGGAACCTTTGTATGGTAGGAAGTGACGTAATGAGGTCCAAGGATGTATTTGGATTCACCTACACCAAACTATTTTTTTGTGGTCTCCTGAAAAGCGCATTAACTAGGTTCTCTATTTAGACATGTCTGGATGGGCAAAATGGGGTGTAAGGTGTGTCACCAAGCATTTCTGATGTGGCCCGAGGAGGAAAGAAAACAAAGCGGTTAGGGTGAGCGCACATTCTATCGTGCTGTAGTGAAAACAAAAAAGTCCAAATGACCAGATTTCAACATCATTATGGATTAGCGATTATGCGTTTGCACTCTGTGTAAAACTCAAAACCCTCCGTAAACGAAACGGCTGGCTCATCATATGATGTATCGCTTCTTGCAGTGCCTAGACTGCCAGCTGGAGTGTTCTACAACGAAAGATGTTAGGTTAAGTTAGGAGAGATGTAAGCTAGGTAAGCGTTAGGTTCAGTTACTTTTAGTTAAGCTGGGGATAGGGTAGGCTTACGGGCTTTCTTAGTGTCAGGCTTGGCTAGAGTTGGTTTCAGTTGCTTCATGCAGTGCCTCGACAATTGTGGCCATCTGTGATTGTAGTGAAACAAACAGTCTCCACTCTTGCAGAGACAGGCGGCGGCACAGTCGTTCCCGCTCTCCTCGGAGGCGTGGCCGTTCCCGGTCTCGGTCGCCCTCCCAGCGCACCACGCCGGGTGCCCGGTACAACGCCGCCAAGCGGGACCGGTCACGCGAGCGGGAGAAGGAGCGGGAGCGGGAGAGGGACCGCCGGCGCAAGGGCCTGCCCCCCGTCAAGAAGGACTGCCTCAGCGGTGAGGGCACTTCGTTCCTTCTTCCGCAAAAGACTGGCGTTTCGGGGAGGCGTTCCGAACTCCTTCCCGGCGCTTGTAGTCTGTACGCTTAGCCGCAGCTCTCCCTCAAGAGCTTTCGGCAGAATTCGCCGACTGTCGTGGATCGGGTTTTGCATGATCCAGTCCCAAATTGGGAGTTGGCACCGCTTCGAAGCGCCTAAGGAAGCGGTGCCCGATGCTCAGAGGGTGTGTGGGGCGGATGCCCGCCTGCCGTAGGTCGCTCTGCGGGCCAGACGCGGTTGACGGAAACCAGGTCGGACACGAAACGGGATGCCGCAGTGACGGCATCCTTTGTGTCCACTCATCCTTTTCGCCGGCAATTCCACTACCAACCGCGGGAATTGCGACATCCAACGGGCGTGATGGGCCGACTCCTTGCGATGCGATTTGTTGCCATTTGGGGACCACTTTCCATGTATGGGTGGGATAGGGCAGTGCACGTACCAGTTGGAGACGCACTGCACGCACCATACTAAGGGGAAGACGACGGTGTGGATTCGGGTCGATTGGTGAGGGGTGCATGCTTCGGGAAAGACAGTCCGTGCGTTTCGCTAGCCGAGGAACTAGTGGAATTTGCCATAATGGTATGTCGTAACGAGGACATTCTCCGTGCTTCTTTGTCTGGGGGGGCAATTTTTGCGAGCCTAAGAAGGTTTGGAAATCGGGTGCAAGTTTTGTCCGAGGCAGAGAGAATTGCGAAGTGTGTTGCACTGCCGCTTGATCTTCGCGACGCTCTTGTTCGGAAAAGCATTCCGGTGCATTGCGAGCGTTGCTCGACTAGTGGGCAGACGACGCGGTTCGTTTGCGTAGGAGATTGGAGGCCTTAAAAGTGGACGTTGGTTTACAGTGTGCAGCTCGACCTTGTGGCTGGGACACGTGCCCAAGTCCGTGTCGGAGACGGACCTTCACGACACCTTCGGCGAATTTGGAAGCATCGTCAAGATTGAGGTGAGTGTTCTGACTCACACGTAAGAGGCGGGGTAAAGATACCCGATCTTGGGTACTTGTGGTAGATTGGTGCGCCGTTTGAGCTTGTGAGTGCCACCTTGTACCGCATACTTGGAGAACAACAAGAACCGCGCAGCTTTAGATTCCTAGACACGAGTGTATAACAAATGCATAATGCTAAGGTACTGAGCGCAACCTTTGCGTGCTTGAAATCACGGTGCAAGTTGCATTTCCCAGTCTGAACCTTACTCTTTGCCGCGTCCCTCGATGCAAACTGTTGCGATTGACTTATGTATTCTGTAGGCAAGATATCATACAGACTTCCGTCGTACAAAACTTAGTACTTGCATCTGTCATCCGAGAGAATTTACCGTAAAATGCCCAAGTTCGACGTGGGTTATAGAGGCGTCATCTCGAGGAGTACCTGTCTAGGAATCTGTTTTGCATATCCTGTTTTGGGGGCTTCCCCATCATTTCACAGTTGTGCCCAAAATGAGCATGAGCCCTGTGTTCTCTACTTGGACTTGTCCAAAACATTTTTGGACATCACAAACTCATGATTTTTTAAAATGCTCCCACTGTGCAACCACGTGCCACTGGACATCCTTTAGTAGCTTTGAGTTTACACTTGCAGCTTTCATAGATGGCTTGCCAGGGTAGAGGTGAAGCAAGTAGGGTATTCTTAGACGTTAGGTTAAAAGCTGTAGTCGGTGACACTCGTAATTTGAGTTGTAATAAAGCGAAAAAGGGATGCGTGTGAAGAAGAGTGAAGCGGGTTTAATGTTCCTCCTCAGATTATCGCCCCTCGTGGCTGTGCATTCGTGTGCATGGACCGGCGGCAGGATGCCTTTCGTGCCCTGCAGAAACTCGCAAAAGCACTCAAGCTTCAGGGGAGCCTCATCAAGGCAAGTCTGGGCTTTTCTTCATTTTTTGAGTTATCATAGTTGGTGAAATCTCACAAACAAAAATATTCTTTGCCGAAATTGCTGCACAGATTGTTATTGCATTGCGAAAGCAGCTTGCCCAGTCCTGTACTGCGTTTGAATAGATATGGTAGTTCTCCACGACTGCGAAAGTCCGTGGAAATAAATTTCTGCGTGAGAGTTACTTTCTGTCTCATCTTAAAGGGTAACTGCAAAGAAAAAAAAGTGTTTTTTTAAACAGCCTAATTGGGACAAGCATGTCACAAAACAAATCTTCCGCGAAAAAAAAATTTTTTTTTTAGCATTATTTACGCCACAGGTTCGTAATTTAGTCGGAGTCACAACCTCTCCACATCTGAAACTCCCGCTCTTTCAACGCGCGCAGAGTCGCTGGAATACGTCATTTCGTGACGTAGAGCAGCCACTCCGTGACGTATAATACCAACTTTGTGGCGTGCTATTTAAAACGGACAAAATAGTCGCAAACTAAAATCAGTCCCGCGCGATAAATATTGCTGTAAAAAATTTTGTTTTTGTTAGAAACATTGTTTTGTGACATGCTTGTCCCAATTAGGCTGTTTAAAAGTACACTTTTTTTTCTTTGCAGTTACCCTTTAAGGCAACCAAAAGCATTAACGGTCATTACATTTTCAAAACGCTTAGTTTTACCGCAGTCCTTGATAAAACATATCAGTGGGGCACTAGTCTACCTTCCCAAGTTGCAGTGAAATTTCAGCGATGGTAACTTTTGTTCGGTTTTTTGGAATAACTTTTAGCTTGGTTCAGTTTGTTTTGTTTCATGACATGTTTGGTGATTTACAAATTGATTTCGGTTTTGTCTTGGCTTAAGTGCCTTATTCAGTTCATGCCTTTCAAAAATTCCAGCTTTGTAGCCTTCACTGGAGGTAGTAAACACTTAGTTTTGTATTTGCTTCTGCGTAAGTGTGTCGGGTGTTTGCTTTGTGATCTAGTAGCTTATGTTTTAGCACGGTGTCACCAACAGTGGAAATAAGGAGAACTTGATGTTTTTTTGTTGGAGGGGGGGGGGATTTCAGGAACCCTGGAGGTTAGCCCAAGTGTCAAGGATGCTATTAAAAATTGCCAATTGTCACAACTGATGCACATACTGTTTATAAACAACACATATAGCCAATCGTGACATTCTACATGAGAAACTAAGCGAATAACATGGTCGAAAGAGTGAGCTCTTGCGAAAATGCGATCTGTGCAGATCACATTTTTTTCCTGAGGACGTTTTCTTATAATTTGCTGGGCACTCTCTGTCGATCACGATGATTGGCTGAGCGTGTGCCATGGGAAAGTGGATGTGTGTGCTTTGTTCATAAACATTGCATCTATTGCTCAAGTAGATACGGCACAATGCCTCAACACACATTTTCTTTCACATGGTTTTGGAGAACCCTCGTGCAATGTTTCGGTATCTGTTAATGCCGTTCATCACTACAGACGGTGATCATCGCGAATATACAGTACAATATCTTCCAGTGGAACCCCAAGGGACCGGGAAAAGTTGTTCCGCATATCGTAGGTCCCTGTCATCAGAAGAAATCACTTTGAAGCAGGGGGGAACGAAATCAACACTTTGCAAAGTTCCTGTTATCGAGGTTCCACTTGAAAAAATCCTATCACATTTCGGCCCGCCAAGGCAGCTTTATTGTTGTGATTAGGGGATGTTGACGGAGTGCTAATGCTTGTCGAGATTTCTGCTGGCGCAATCTACCAAGGCCCTTCTACTACCCAGAAAAAATAGATGTGACACGAAATCAGTCTTTTTTCTGCACTAAATTGCCCGGCGAGAATCGAGAATTCAATGCTACCCTCACCCTATTTTCCTTGACCATGTGCGGTGGTGATACAAAACTCCAGATATTCTTTCTTTTTTCTTAGCTCGAACCGTCCAAGGCACATGCTCGTAATAAAAAGTAATTAATTCCGTATCGCATTCCTTTTGCAGCCACCAAAACAGACAGGAAAGAGTAAAGAGGACACTTAAAACTGCTTACGTGTAGGAATGCTTTCGCATTCCTACATGCACAACATTCTTACGAACAGCGCGCCACGTCTTCTTTTTTCACACCGTGCTCTGGCGCAGGCGCGGCAAACCCCACAGGCTCCACGGCTTCCGTGATGATGCATCTGCATTGCTGTGCTTTTCTCCATGTTTTATTTTTGAGATGCGCCCGCTTTGACCTTGAACGGCCCCGCCGTCTGTCGTGATGATGCATCTGCGTTGCTGTACTTTTGGCCAGTGGGAATTTAACTGCCGTTTCACCGGCCAGTGGGAATTTAACTGCCGTTTCGCTGCTACAGATGATTACAGACAACGCTGGCTTCGCTCCATGGGATAGTTAAGGCTTTCGCATTGAAAAACATTGATTTAAAGGAACTTTGGGTGCATAGTCCCATACACTCTGACGTCATGGTCCCTCACCCTGGTTCTCTGATATCGGTGTGACTTTGATAGCTTTTTTGAGCAAATGTGTCGCTCTGCGTTGGAAGAACTTTGGGCTAGTTAGTGTCCTACACCTTGCTGTAGCAGAGGGGACGTCAGTGTCTCTTAATCATAATTTTTTTAAATTTTACATACAGGTGAATCTTGTTAATTCGAACTCGAAGGGACCGAAAATTTGTTTGGATAAAGCAAAGTTTGAATTACCAGTAGTTTTCTCCCATAGAGGCGTATAGGACAGGACCTGCATGTTAGTTTCAATTATCCAGAAGTTTGAATTAGGAGAGTTTCAGTTAACGAGATTTGACTGTTGTTAAATTTTTAACAAGTAGTTTTATCAGCTTTTAAATATCCCGATGGATGTTGTCCGAAAGTTCCACTCCTGTCTCTAAAGATAATTTTCCAGATTAAATTATTTCCAACATGCCGGTTCCATCTAAAGTTTAGCTTTCTAAACTTTCAAACCCGTTTATCTCGGTTTCTCTTATTGGCATCAAATCTCGGTTCAGGAAAACTGTCATTTGATAACGAATTGATGTGTGATGCCAGTTTTTGGAGCTGCTGTACTGTATTGTGTAAGGAATGCAGCTGTGAGCTTAGTTTTTGCATATTCATGGTCTTTTATAATAACTGAACACGAGCGTGGTGGTGAATAAATACAAAAACTTGAAACGATCAAACATCAAGGACGGGGATGGAAACGGGACTTCTTTCAAAGAAAGAAGTCCTGTTACCGTCCCCGTCCTCGATGTTTTATCCTTTCAAGTATTCGCATGGTCTCTTGTAATGAGAAGCTGCAGTATATTCAGCATAATGCATGTAAAAAATAAAAACTTCATTTCTGTAATTTTTTTTTTATAGCCGCGTGACACGGGTGCTTTACTGTATGTTTGTTTAAAATAACTGGCCATTATCATTACTTTTTCTAAACAGTAGTTTTTCTCAGGGGATGCAGTGTTTATTTTATGCACCTCTATGCAACTCTTTGAAGAATAAACTCATAAACTTGAAACATTGCATGTTAACCTCTTTCCCAGCTCTAAATATGCCCTGCAAATTTTATACAAAATAGTCTAGCGGTCAAAAAGTTAACTTTTCCGAGTAGTGTCCTCCGAGCGCTTCCCAAAGAAGTCGGGGATTTTGGAAGGGGGTGGTGTTGGGAGACAGTTTGCTTAGGCGTGAAGTAAAACTGTTTTGGACGGCCGCTGCAGATGGCCTGGGCCCCTGGCAAGGGCGTGAAGAGCAAGGAGCTGAAGGACTTCTGGGAGGTTGACCTCGGCGTGAGCTACATCCCGTACGAGAAGCTTCCCAAGGACGTCGACCTCGTGTCCCTGGAAGAGGGCGGAGTCATCGACGAGGACTCTCTTCCTGAGGACCTCAGAGGTGAGCGGTCCGACGCACTTTCACGAGCTAACTTGCAAAAGATGGAAGTTTTGTCCCAAAGCGGGGAAGGTCGAGATCTACGCAGACTTGATCAGAGTGTTTGAAGAACGAATTTAGTTATTGTGCACCGTCTGCTTCCAAAGGCTGCGCGGGCCTCGGGATTTAGTGCATTCGACGCTACTTGCAAGGCTAACACAGGTACATTAAGGGGCTTCAGTCCCAATGCATGGTTGAAAATCCTGGGGATTGTTTGGTGCGTGTCCTGTTAACCCCTTGACCGTTTTTAGTTATGGAGAATTTCTATCCCCTCAGCTGCTTAAATGTTGTCTTAAAAATTACATTTGTTGCCTTCAAAATAAAGATTTTAGCCAAAAACAAAATGGGAGCAAAATTTATAACTATTCAGTGCTGCCATTTGTTGGCAGAGCTGCAAATTAAGCAATGAGCGAGCCTGGTTCGTCCAAAACTGTTGAGTGCGTGAACTGGGGGAAGCAGACGAGCTATACTTGTCCTGAATGGTTTGGGGACAGTTTCTCTTTGACGAGCTAGACTCGTCCAGAACGGTTAAAGGGTTAAGATTGCACTAATCACAGTTTTCATCAGTGCCAATTGCAAGGGCCACATAAAATGTACTGCATGTTTCTGTAAAAGCAGCTGCAATTTTTTTCGCTTCTAAAATTGTAAGTGAAAAGTATAAAGTAACTGCGTGGTTGTGGTTGTCTTGGCGCCTATGTAAGCGGCCGACAAGTCAAGTAATAAGTGATAAAAGAAAAATAATGTGCATGCCTAGAACTGTTCTCTCACTGCCTCACAAAAAACAGCTTAATCTTTCTCGTTACAATTTTGTAGACACGTGGACAGTTGAGCCGTGTAAATTGTCAGCGTTTGCACTGCGAGTCATGCCAGCTGCGCAGGGAAGCAATCTTGTTGCCTCTCGGCATTGCAGAGAAGCGGAGGGCCCAGGAACAGCAGCGCACTCAGGGTGGGCCCGGTCTGGCACCCTCCACGGCGGCCGGCGGCGGCGGTGCCGACGTGGTGGCCGCAATGGCAGCCTTTCCGGGGGCCGCCATGACCACCCCAGTGGTGACCACCATGGCTGCCCCCGGGGGTGCCGCCACTGCGGTGGCCATGGTGCCGCCGCCCGTGGCACAGTTTGGGATCCCGCTGCCACCAGGTAAGGCCTCATCATCTTGTCAGGGCCACGCTGCTGTCATTATCCCACCTTTCATTCTATCCTTCCATGTTTTCCTTTATTTTGCTTTGGTTTGCATCCTTGGGTGCCAGTTAGTTTGGGTGTTTCAAAAGCCTGGGGCTTGTGACATGTGTCTAAGATGAACAGTGGTACTGTCATGTCAAGAGTTGGGACAGATTTAAGTTTTCAGTTTATGCTGTAAATAAGGATGTCGATTACGCTCGCTGAAATGCACATTCTCACTTACTCTGGAACGCGACCACTTTCCTTATTATTTAGTTTCAACGATCTCGTGTGGTCGTGTCGACTGGTTGTTGATTGAACGAATATGGTGCTGGCGGTGGAGTGCGTCGGCTGCACCGCAACTTGGCAACGACACGACACATTTGCAAATCCGTTGGCGACGTATCGGAGTCATCAGAAGGGTCTAGTAAAACCCCCTACTACCACGGGCCTCTAGCATTTAATGGGGTAGGTCTTGCTGATTACGACACCTTACTCACATTCGAAACATCACTTTTTCTTTCCGGTTTTGCAATAAATTACCGCTGTTCTTCTCAAAGAGTCCGAAATAAAGTTTTTGCCGTTAGGACGTTTTATTTTTCTGCTTGATGTAGCCAGTATAGATCGCTAATAAAGTTTGTTGCAGTTCTGACCTCTTGTAAGTAGTCATTGTGCCAAAACGCTGCCACTCCTCTTTAGCCTTTTCCGTGTTCCCGGAAGGCAGTGACTGGCAGCAAAACTTTCTCAATTTGCACTCTTTTTTTTTTTCTTTTTTTGGTTCTGTATTTTGGGAAGTGGCGAAATGATGCATTTCGAATAGTGGTTTGAGCAGCGGATGGTTTTCTAGCGATTGTGTCCCAGGGGTAAATTTATTGTTGTTGTGCCACAGTTGTGGTTGCTAACTTGCATCACTGCACAAAGTTTTGAAAGAAGTGTATTGTTTTGGCAGCGTCATTTGCCATCCATGAGGCAGATAGGTCAGCGCGAGAAAAGCATAACGATTTAATAAGCATGCCAGGTCAAATCGGCTGACAATGTATCGAGAAGAGCCAAAACAAAAACGTCACAGATGAACAGTTTCTGAGGTTGCTGCCACAGTTTTGCCTGTACCACGCTTTTAGTTCATAGTATACCATATAATCGCGTGTAAGGGCCACACCCGTGTAAGGGCCGCACCCCCGTGTTTAGGATAAAGTATTGCAAAAAAAAAGAATTACAGAAATTATTATTACAGAAATGAAGAAAATGGCAGTCAGCAATAACCACACTGGGAAAATAAAAATGTGGTATCCACGCAGAAGTGATTCCTACCGGACCTCGATGTCTGTCAACCAGCAAGCTCCGAGCTTCGAGTCCCAAGTCGGGCAGACGGACAGTAAACATAGTCAACCAAAAACACATTGACTTGTGGGTGCCCCTAGGTAACATCATATGTTAAGCGCACGCGTACAGCACTCCTAATGTCCCAGTAAGTCGGTCACTTAGGCAGAAAAGACAAGCGTTAACATGTCACCTCTGGGTGGGTACTACTCCTAGTGCTGAGGGTGAATCTAGTCGGCCTTTGCAGTTGCAGTTATCTGAGCTTTAATTATATCATAAATATAGGTTCAATTTTACAACGGTTTCCAATCGCAGGTAGTCGCTTAAAGTAACTGAATCAATTCTAATTCCCATATTTTCCGGTGTAATAGTTGCATCCCCCCCCCTTTCCGCTCCCGTCCCCCCCGTATCGGTGTCTTGTATGCATTTTGCTCATAAGCGTGCACCTTATCTGTGCAAGATGTAGGCCGTATCAGCATTTAAGACGAAGGAGGGATGGCAGAGCATCCGCCGATGCCCACCCTTCTGGCGATGCATGGCGGCATGAGTTTGCTGCAGCAGCGACTCTATGCGTCATTGTTTGTAGCACACTGTAACTATGTGGTCCTTTGAGAGTTCCGGCATCCATCGCCGACTTCCCGTCACCACATTTGTTCTTCTCTGTTTCACCGGCATTGGGACAGCGCTTGTAGACAGTCTTAATGCGACAGGCCACCGCTAAGGACACGGAAGAGCTACATTGAAAAATTCCGGTTTGTGTGAATGAAGAAAAAACTGCGCTGAAGGTGGAAATTGGGCTGCAGGAAGTCATTTCAACGTCAGTGAAAAAGTGTGACTCATACGCGGGTGCAACCTGCATACCAACTTTTTTTTGGGGAAAAGAGCAGTTTATAGGGGGGGGTGCAACTTACAGACCGGAAAATAAGGTATTTTTTAAAATGTTTAATGTCAAGTGTGCTTTGATAGTTCACCAACGGTTGAATTTTCCATGCTGGAAAGATATTGGCACAAACTGACTGGTTTGTAGGTAGCCACATGCGTGCAGACTGTGTTGATGGCCAAGCTATGTTAAGGGAGGACACTACACAAGTTCAGCTTCTGAGCCACTGCCTTAAAATTATCTAAATTTGCAGCATAGGCTGCTAACATGATGAAGGATGCCATGGAAAGTTTGCTGTGTACACTAATTGTGAAAAAATATTGCAGTAGCTGATATCAGGGGTCAGTCTGTTGTTAAAAGACTAATGTTATACCTAACATACTTCTCTAGATTCTAAGCGCGATGTCTGTAGAATGCACCTGTGGAAAAGCTTTCCTGAAAAGCAGCTCATCTTTATAACGGTTTGTCTTTGTGTTCAACAAAATCTCTACAGTTCGTATTAAATATATATTTATAAACCAGAAGAGCAATTCCACAGGAGCATTCTTCATTAAATTTCTGTAAGGAAAATAAAAGTATAAACCTTTCCTTTAGTCACAGATAAAAAATGATAGGTTGACCGAAATTAAATTTATATGAAAACAATAGAATCGAGAAAAATGCATTTCATGTCCAGAGCTCTGCCTTTATCGAGCAGCAATGCGCCAAAATAATCGACAAGGTAACCGTGGAGCAGGATGCAAAGGTAACCTTGTGGAGAACTGTCCACACAAAAGTTGGAGATAATCACGAAAAAATGGAGAGGAACCATGTCCAAGAGCAGAAAAGCAGAAGGGGCACATGGTAGGGTAGGCCCTTGTTTGATCCGACGGAACAGCGCACGAGCTATACCAGGGGTCTGGCAAAATCCTCTTGTCAAGCATGCTTTGTGCCAAGCGCTCTCATGTCAAGTTCCGCTTTGCACCGACACACGTGCGTAAAGCTTCACCGCCTTGCACCAGCTTCTCGGAGAAGCAGCTGATGCAAAGGAGCGCTTTGGTTAGCTCAGAAGTTTGCTGGGGTTAGTGCTTGATATATTGTGTAACTACATTTCAACTGCTTCAAAAGTGAGTGGTGGGTCCTTATCGAGACACAAATATATGCTCGGTATTTGTCAGAGGCTAGTGGACCTCAATTTGGCATGTCTAAAAAAAATCAACCTTTTTCTGCAGAGGTTGATTCTAGGCTGTGTCCCCCTTTAACAAATGGCTAATTGGAATGCACATTGCTCCTTTTACAGTCTGTACACAGCTCATACATTTGGCATTGCAGACGTAACCGGGGTTCTTTTTTGTTTCGACTGGGTTGCATGTGGTTATTACCATCTAGTTCCGATGCTGTAGAGCCTTTGCCTGCATGCTTGCTGCTGCTTTCTTTTTTTTTGCCATGCTCATGCTGCTTGTTTGTAATTTTCAGTTGTCCAAGTTAAACCGAGCGAACCTGAAATAAAAGGTGCATGTGAGTTCTTACCCTTGACCGGTACTTTTTGCTCTGTTGGGTTTTATGAGGGGCGTGAAGCCATGGTGGACAGAAGTGCTTTGCCTAGCCTAACCAAGCCCGGTGTATGTTTGTTCCACATTTGCATTATCAATAAATATGCAATTGTGCCGCGACATTTAATGAAGAGAAGCTACTTGCAAGCTTAGTCTTTGCTTTGTCGTGAGAATTGGCCACTACTAAAGTCACGAAATGGAAATCATTTCATATGAAACTAGAGGGCACCATCATTCCTGTCACTTCTAGAGCAATATGGACGAGGTAGAAACAACCGTATTTTCCGGACTGTATTCTGCGGACTATACACGTTTAAAAGTTGACATTTTACCCTGTGCGGACTATCTACACGTGCGGACCATACGAGGATTTTTTTTTCTAGATCGTTCGCTGTGATAAGACGCAAAGGATTTTATAAATAACAGTAAATTAGTGCCGATCTATGTACGATACAAGCTTCTTTGTGAGCTAATTCAGCAGACATTTGTCAAGGTGTGTTGCATATGATACAGTAAACTTTTGTTAGTTCGACCTCAGTTAATTCGACTTTTCGTTTGATTCAATCGTGTTCAAAAGTCCTGGCGAGGACCCATACATTTCTATGGGAGGAAAAGTTTGATAGTTCGAACTCGGGAAGACTCCGCTTCAAATAATTCGTCCCGCGGCACCACGGCAGAAAAACCACCAACGTACGGCGAAAGACTGGCCCTTTGCTGCCAATCCGAATGTACGCAAATATGCGCCTGCTCCTCTTTCGCTGTTGAGATGGACCGTAGCCAATTACACGAGCCAGCGCAACCAATCTGGCGTAAAATAGCGCAAAGAACATAGCACGTGGTTGGGCGCGGAGACAGCGCGCGCTTTCAAAGCGCTTTTTTGTAGCTTCGTGTGCGGTCCATCTTGAGTGCCGAAAAACGCAAGTTCTCTTTTCCTTTTTTTTTTTTTTTTTTTTTTGTTATTTGTTTCGGTTAACAATTTTCTGTCCTTTTTTTAATTCAATCATTCGGATAATTCAACCAAATTTCAAGGTCCCGTCGAGGTCGAATTAACGAAAGTTTACTGTAATTTTTATGTTCGGATTAGGCACAACGTGTGGACCATCTAAGCAAAAACTTCATTTTTTGACAGGATGCGTCCGAAATATCCATTGAAATCCAGTATAAGTCGCACGCCTGCTGGAACGCATTCCCATTTTGGCCCGCGCTACATATAGTCACTGCCAGGATGAGAATGAGGGGTCCTTCGGTCGTCCCGCCCCGAGCGCGAGCTTCCCCATCTTCGATGGCGCTTGGGTGCCCCGCAAGCCTCGAGTGTGCACGCGCAGTCAAAGCATGATGGAAGGCAATGCGTGCGTGCTAAAGGTCGGGCCCCGCCGTTTTCATCCTTTCGGCGACCGTAGCCGGTCACGACGAGGCGACGTTCGGCCGACTGCCGAGGCAGTGCGACTCAATGGCACTTGGCGTCGCATCCAAGCACGTTGCGGTAAGAATTCGGACCCGATCGGCTCGTCACTCGGAGGGACGACGGAGGACCTCGGCCCCGGCAATTGCGACTTCGAAAGCTAAGCCCCATCCCCGACCTCGCTCTCTGACGCAGAGAGACTTGCTTTTCTCCGTCTCGCTTTTGTGGTGCAGGCTACCGGGCGACGAGATCGGATGCTCGTGAGGTTGCGGTGAGGGGTCGGTGAATACTACGATAGGTTAGGCAAAGAAGGTTTGGTTTCAAAATGATTGTGCCCAATTAATTTTTTTTTTTCCAACAAACTTTTTTTTTTTTTTTATACACAAGTATTTTGGCGATTTGACAGGTATTGTGCATTTGTAGTAGTTCAGATACTTCTGCCGCTTAGCAGCCTCACTCTTTTTTCTCTTTTGTGGCTTTTGTGGGCACGGGCGTCATTGTACGCCACCTCTTTCATTGACTACAGTGTCTAGTTCATGTTTGGAGCATATTTTCTGACGACTCAACCGTGACCAGTGACTCGGGCGAGGGAAGGGAAAGAGCCCAATCGCCTGTACTGGGCACATAGAGACAGAATAGAGTAGTATCTTATTGCATCTTTATGAGAGAGATCCTGAAGCCATCAGGGAACAGACGTTCTGTCAAATTACCTAGGCACAGACGTGCGTGCTGTGAATGTTGGTGCACAGTCTCGTCTTGTATGCATAAAATATTAGAAGTAAATGATTAGAACAATACATTGATGAATGCGCATGCCTAGTGCCATTTGTTTTAGATGTTTGCTTTAGAACAGTTACTGCGGCATGTGCAGCGTGTGTAACTGCTCTCGGCATGCTCCTTGATGCTTGGGTAATAGCTCTAGAGGTATATTTGGTGCCAGCTTCTTTTCAGTGTCACTCTGCTATACTCCTGCGTGTGCTGGCATTTAGCATCCACTGTTTTTCAGCACACCGCAGCTTACCTCTCTGCGCTGAATGTGTACTTCTGCATGCAGTGCAAATGTCACTAGTATAGACGAATGGTACTACAGTCATGTCTCGTTAATATGGATACCCTGCTGTATGGACACCACTTTCAGGGACAAACTGGGGAAATACATGCATTTTTGTCTCATTAATGTGAATAACTCACATTATGGACATTTTTTTTTTTTGAGAACGGTGGTGTCCATATTAACGAGACATCACTGTTTACACATTTAGAAGTACGGCCTTGGGTCGCCGCCACCGTGCTCGCTCGGGGTGTGGTTGAGTGCGTCAAAATCCGATGACGACACCTTTGCAAGACGACGTAATTGGATTATGACGTGCCCAAGCACACTCCAAGCGATCAATATAGCAACACCCTGAGGCCGTACTTGCAAACGTGTGTAGGTACCTGCTGCACTCTTACCGTCTGCTAGTAGCCTCCTTGTCTCTGTGAAATGTAAACTGAGAACTCTCTCCTCTATGCTTCTTTTCCCCTTCCCCCCCCCACGTGTTGAACACAAATTTTAGTCTCGGTAATGCGATTTGTGAAAAATATTTATTTATAAGAAAGACTATTTTATCGGCATAAAGTTAATTGACACCTGCATGCCACCAACTTACGACATATTTCTCGTATTGTACTTTTTGTTACACGGTACTATGCAGTGGCATCTCGACATCGGACTTTGAGGTCATTCTTTCAAGCGACTTTACTTGGGCTTTGTTTATTCGGAACCGTAATTTCCTCGGTTTTACATTCGTTGAGTACGGAGTTCATTAGTAAGGGGGGGGGGGGGGGGTCTAGATCTCGGTGTTGCCATGAAGCACGAGGTTGAACAACAGCTTCGCCATTCTGTGACAGCGAAGGAGCATAGTGAAACAGATGTCTCCTAAACAAAAAAGATTACATGCCATCACAAGATAAAACAATGTTTTCATCACTTGCTCATTCATGCTGCCAGAGCCGTATATTGGGAGAGTCTGGCCATGGCCATTAGGCATTGCAACAAAGGCACTTGAGAGGAGAAAATTGAAGGAAAGGGGGGAGAGCACGCCAAAGGAGAGAGAGGAAGGAGGGAGCAAAGAGGAAACAAACGCTACTTTGACGTAACACGCTTTCGGCGCAGAGCATTATTGAGGCTATGCGTCATCTGCTACAAGCAGACTTCTTTTTCACCTGAATGGAAGTTAGCGGTAAAACATGGAGAAGACATATTTGCTAGTTTTTTTTAACCCACCAAGGATTATTTCCTTGCCAGAGCCAGCTGAATAAAATGAAAGAAGCGAGATGTGGATGTCGGTCCTATGCATTCCACCGGGTCAATGAATGAAAGTCACGGCCCTCCCTGCACAGCTGGGAGCAGCCAAGAGTTCATGCGCTCGTGCCTCACACTCTGCGCCGCGGGCTGATTGGCTTGCTCGGGAGGGGGGGCGTTAGGCGGCGAGATCATAAACAGGCTACACTCTCCCAATATACAACCCTGCATGCAACTGCACACACAAAAAACAAAACAAAAATTAGAGTTTAGTTGGATGAGGCAGAGAGCGAACTAAGACTGATAGCACACAGGGACACGCCTGAGTATACTTGGGCATGGTACTTGGAAGGTTAAGTGTGCTTGCATCGGTAGTTTGCAGGGCGACCTTTCTGGAGCATGTTATCGCCTTCGCATTCTCCGTGCACTTTGTTTGTCTTGTAGTTTCTTCGGTGCAGCTTTGCTTGCCGCTTCGTGCTTTGTTTGCCAGCGTTCTATCGCCATAGAGACAAGTATAATCTTCACAGCAAGTCTACACAAAGTGAGGATAGTCAAAGATGGTAGAAAGAACTTTAAAAGAAAAAGCCTCCTGAAAACCTCGAAATGTCAGCTATTGTTTTGTTAAAGAGACGGCATATTTAGCGTCGGGTACAGATGGAGGCTGCTTTCTCGAGAAGGTTCTTTTCCTGGGAACATATAGCAAACAAGAAAAAAGGGAACTCGTGGGGCTAACAGTTCCCATTTCAAAGCACTCGTGGAACTTCTGCGACGCTACTGAGCATAGCCAAGTCTTTCATTGTGTTTCTAATGAGAGGTATGATAACCCGAGTTCCGCAGATCGCAAGGATGTAAAAATTACAAGTTGCAGGCTTCGGCCGCCTGTTGTGGTGGCATTGAGTAACATTCACCCGTGTCGTGCCTCGGTTCGAACCACCAGATGTCTTGTATCGGAGAATTCATGTCCTGTCACCGCTCCAACTGATTGCTTCAAAACCAGGGCCATTTCTTGCTGTTCCGGAACCGTATAGTGGGACCCTGAAAAACATTCACTTTGCGGGAGGTGTTTAAAGGGGTACTCCGGCATTCTCTTCATAGTCTCCGATTTGCCAGAAAATTGGCTGAATACGTCAATAAGCAGAGCTAAAATAATAAGCTAATAATTGGGCAAAAAAACATTTTTTTTTTTGCAATATTATTGAATTTACATTTTTGTGCTCAGTGTCTTTCAAAGTGAAAGTCTCTACTGGCAACAATGAAAAAGTGACTTCAGCAGAAAGCAGGGGTTTACTCTTTGAACTGTAAATTTTGTTCCCAACTGATTACAAGCAGTTTCATAGTGTAAAATTAATGCTTTGGAAGCTCCCTCCAGAACCTGGGCAGCAGCAGGAAACAAATTCTGGCCATAGTGTATTTCTAGACTGCCCGCTGGACCTGCAAGCCTGCCTTCAACTGACTTCGCAGCACTGAAAGTGCGGGTATACTTGAACGTTGGTTTTGTCATTATTTTCCCTTGCAGATTTCACAATGACTATCCTGAATTTTGCAATACTAAGTAGTGTACTGGAAAGGGTAAAGGTTGGTGATTCCAAAAATAGTTAATTGGAGTAGCTCAAGAAATTGCCGAAGTACCCTTTTAAGCAAAGCTTTGGATGGACATGATTTCCACAGCCTCCTCCCCCTTCCCAGCAGTGCAGCCATGGAAATAAAGCTAGGAGTAGGATAAGACACTGGTTTGGAAGCAGTATGGTGCTGCCATGGGGAGGGTTTGTTGGGGACACACCAATTTGGCCACTGTCTGGTGACGCCAAGTTCTGAAACCATAGATTTCATGTTGAAACTGGGGGTGAGGGGGACATTCACCAGTCATTTTTCATTTTGACGCTTTAGTAGTGGCTTTTGAAACCTTAACCTGAAGTGGAGTACGGAGGATCCGAGATTCTCTTGCTGTAGCTCTGCCAAACATGGTCGATTTGTAGGCACTTGGAATTGACCTTGGATTGGTATTTCCGAGTTTACGATGCAGTGTATTGGGATTGGAGAGGTCGGGGTCACCAATCTCCTGGTGGCTCAATACCATGTGCCTGTGCTCAGGCTGTTTGCACCGGTGAAGCCGCTGGAAGTTTGTCGCATTTGACTTACCATTTCAAAAGGTGCAATATTGCTGTTTCTTGCCAAGCTCTTTTAATTTTAAGAGCGCAGCTCTTAGGCGCCCGTTTCCGGCTTGAGCGGCGTCGCCGTTGGCGTGATTGTGGCGATGTTTTAAGATGGTGACGTTTCAACACCGTGCCGAAACGTCTGCGCGGGGTCACGTGACCCGGGTTCCCACCGGGGTCACGTGACCCCCGTAAAATCAGGAGGGTCATGCGACGTCACGAGGGTCACGCGACGTCACGAGGGTCACTTGACCTCACGGTTACGGCGATGCCGACGCCGCTCGGAAGGAGGAGTAGCAGGCAGGATAAGGAGGAGGAAGGAGGGGTGTACCCTCCCCTCAGTACCATTCTCTCCTCCTCCTCAAGAACTGCACTGTAATTCGGCGTTACAGGGAGTTGTAGACGGCTTTCTTTTTTTTTTTGTTAAAAATGAATAGTAATTTGTTAGTATATTGAAGAAGCTAGCTTTTCACAAAAAAGCCACGAGAAAGGTAATGCCACCAGTGCACTTTTGAGGGTACATGAAAGTATAGAAATGGATTCTTAAGAACCATGTATGGTTTGGCTAGGGAGCCTTCATGTGCGCTTTGCTAGGGTGATGCCACCCTTTGTAATACCACTCGCCAAGGAGGTTATAAGTACTAGGAGGGGGCACGTTGCAATATTGGTGAAGCCTAGTCATAAAAAGTTTAAACGATTTTGTGCCCAGCGTGACCACAGATCTCTCTAGCGATTGGTGCGCGTGACATGTCGCGTGTGAGATTGACGGTTGATTGTGGAAGGACTCTGCAGGCTTGCGCGCGCTCCGTCCGGTAGGTTTTATCAGATCGAAGGCTAGACTGTGGTGTATTCTAGTACCTCATGGCAAGACGAAGGCTAGCTACGGTTACGTGATGTCGTCACATTGGCATGGTAAGTGAGGAGAGTAAGTAGGAAAATGAGAAAGAGGCAAGGCGTCAAGGGAGCATGGCTTGTGGAGGCTACGGGCCAACGTCATGCCCTCTCCTACCCTTCTATCCTCCTTGCCACTCGCCGACAAACCAGCAGCCATTTTGGTCTCGGCGATAATCCGTGGGGCTTATAGCCCTCCCGGAAGCAAGCCCTTATCTCACAAGTTCGGAGCAGCGTTGTGGAACCCACGGAGGGAGGATTAGCATTTTCCCTCTCGGATGGGAGGACCGATGGACACAAAGGCCACTTTCCGGTGCACGGGGAAACAATGAGAAACAAAATGGCGGTGGAAGAGGGTGTGGGAAAGGGAAAAAGGCAGTTGGCATCACTCTATGCGAAGCAGACATGAAGGCACCCTAGGTTTGGCAAATGTGGTAACAAAGCAGTTCAGGAAAGAGCACGAAAAACATGAACTTCAAACTCAAGCTAGAGCTAACAGTGGAATCTGTGGGCTGTTATCCAGCTCCCTTGCAGAGATTAGTGGCGAGGGTTGTGTGTATTCAAATTATTGTACCCCGTATAAACGGATAGTAAAACAGTAATATTTTACGTTTTGCTCCATCAAGCAGTGGCCTTCTGCATTGACTTTGAAGCAGAAGAAAAGCTGAATTGGGGATGCCACATGCATCTTTCTACTGATGTGCCAATTGTGATAGTGTCAAGCATTGAGACCACCCTGGAGTGGTCTTCTATCCGATCGCATTACAAGCTTTTAATATTAAAACTGCATTCAGCAAGCTTTTTTTTTATCTTATCCGGTGTTTTTTCCTTGCTTTAATCTTGCTGTGGCATGCAGCTGTGTGGAAATTTTTAAAAGAAGATGTTCCACTCTTGAGACTTGGTAACACCGATTGCATCTCTGTATTTCAACTTTTCCGAGTTGTATAATTTTTTTCTTATATGACACTAGCTGCAGAGTGTCACGTCAGACAAACTCAATATATTAGGCCACAAAAATAAGTGTGAAATTCTGAACTGTAATTCCTTGGACCATTCTGGCTTTGTGGTTTTGACACTTGGGTTCTCATACTTGTGTGTCTAGAATGTTGACCGGAATCCTGTTGTACCATCTTTTTAACTATAGTGAGAGCGGCCGGTGGGAAACGGCACGATAAACTCGGACAGATGATGGTGACTGAACGGGCATTTTGCAGGAGGAGGTTCTCTGACACTTTACTTCCCCCTTGCAGGCATGCTGCCCTCGCAGGGCTTGGTGATGCCACAGATACCAGTGCCCATGGGGGTGCCCGCTCCTCCAAACCACATGCTGATGGTGCCACCCCACGGCACCCAAACATTGCTGGGCCACAGTGCACTGGGACTCCTCGGTCCACCGCCATTGGGAATCTCAGGAACTGCCCTTGGTCTTTCTCTGCACCCTCCCATGAGCCTCCCGACCACCTCCCAGTCTGCCCCTGTACTGCCTGTGGCAACAACAGCACAGCTCATGGCGGCGGCGGCAGCTGCGGCGGCCACGACGGCTACGGTGACGACCGACACTACTGCGACCACTGCGACGCCCATGGCCATCGACGGGGATGCAACGCCGACAGACGAGGATGGAACGAGTGTCATGGACAGCGTGAGCGCCATTCCTACTCCGGCAGACCCTCCGGAACAACAAGGCGAGGCGTCCAAGGATTCAGTGTTTGGGAAACTTCTGCCACCACCAATGTCTTTTCCGCCTCTCGCTGCGCCGCCAGGAGTTCCTTCGCAGTTCGTCACTCAGGGACTGGTGGGTGCTCAGAAGGAACCGCACCCTGCCGAAGCTAAGTTCAAGTCTCCGGGATCTAGTCAAGAAACTTCTAGTGGAAATGTGCAGGGCGCTGGCATCTCTCAAGAGAAGCCACCACCGGAAGGCATGCAGATTGAGGACTCCAACTCCCAGGAACAACAGAGCGACTCAAGGACGGAGATACGCAGCTTCGAGACGTCACCCTCGGCGATACCTTTGCCGGTCGGACTTCAGGGCTTTAACTCCTCGCCGATGCCTCCAAGAGGACTGGGGGGACCTCCCATACGCTTCAGAGGACCGCCCCTATTTCCGTTTGATGGTCCACCGATGCCCGATGGAAGACCTGGAATGGACTTTCCAGGTCCGAGACTGCTGGGGCCCGATCCTAGGATGATGGGACCGCCTTCGGACTTCAGACAGGGAAGCCCTCATGAGCATCGAATGTTGGGTGGTCCCATGGAGCAGCGGATGATGGGTGGGGCAGAACAGCCGATGATGCGAGGTCCCATGGAGCAAAGGCTGTTGGGCCCTCCAGAACAGATGATGGGTGGGCCTCCGGACTCGCGGATGTTGAGGGGTCCCCCGGAGCAAAGGTTTCTGGGCATGCCGCAGGAGCCAAGGATGCTGGGAGGTCCTTTGTCACCAAGAATGCTAGGGGGTCCTCCGGATGATAGACTAATGGGTGGTCCACCAGATCAGAGGATGATGGGAGGACCACGGGAGCACAGAATGTTGGGCGGTCCACCTCACGAGCATAGAATGATGGGTGGTCCTCCTCCTGAACACAGAATGATGGGTGGGCCCCCAGACCACCGGATGTTGGGTGGGCCCCTGGATCATAGGATGATGGGTGGGCCCCCTGACCACCGAATGTTGGGTGGACCGCTGGACCACAGAATGATGGGAGGCCCGCCAGACCATAGGATGTTAAACATTCCTCCGGAGCACAGGATGATGGGCAGGCCAGGAGATTTAGAACACCGGATGATGGGAGGTCCCCCTGAACACCGGATGAGGGGGGGTCCACCAGACCATCGGATGATGGGAGGTCCTCCGGATCATAGGATGATGGGCGGGCCTCCCGACCACAGGATGATGGGCAGTCCACCTGAACACAGAATGCTTCCAGGACCTCAAGACCAGAGGATGATGGGAGGTCCACCGGACCACCGAATGCTCGGACCTCCCGATTTCATGATGGGTGGACCGCCGGAGTTTCGAAAGCTTGGACCGCCGGACTCGCGAATGTTGGGACCGGGACCTCGAATGCTGGGACCCAATTTCGGCATGATGAGCCCGAATCAGATGGGGCCCCATGGTCCAGGCGGAGCAGACTCGGACCCGGCAGATAAGATGGCAAATTCTGATGGCAAGAAGGTGGCAACTGACAAAGAGGAAGGCAATGCCGGTGAAGGTGGTAAAGACGCGCACTCGGGCGATAGGGAGGCAAATATGGACGAAAAGAAAAACAGTCAAAACGAGCCATCCAAGAACTGGAATCACCAGGTGGGAGGCGCCGAAGACGGCCGTGTACCAAATTTAATGGACGGTGGGCTCGGAAGACCCGACGGCGACAAGGGTCCCCAGAGCGACGGCGATCGCGACAGGAAAGGCTTTGGCTTTTTTGGGCCACCCCGTACGAGGTTTGACGGTCCAGAAGAGCGGTCCGGCTTCAGACCTGCCTTCAACGATGGGCCAATGGATCGCGGTTCCGATAACGCCTGGGGAGGCAGGGACGGCGAAGATGGCGGTGGGTTTGGCGGCGATCGCCGCGTGTTCACGAATGCCTTCGGCGAAATGTCAGAAAGGCGGCGGAGCGGCGGTGGTGGCGGCGGCGGCGGCAGTGGGGGCGGCAGTGGCGGTCGAGGGGAGCGTAGGAGCCGCTGGTCTCGGGAAGACAACGAGTGGGACTCGCGGCGTAGTGATCGCGCAGATCGCAGTGATCGAAGCGATCGTGACCGAAGTGATCGGGATCGGAACGACCGTGACCGCAGAGACCGAGACCGTACCGACGGCAAAGACAGAAGCGACCGGGATCGCTCGGACAAGGACCGTAACGATCGGGAAAGAAGTGATCGGGATCGGAGCGACCGGGATCGAAGCGATCGTGACCGTAGTGATCGGGACCGGAGTGACCGAGACCGCAGCGACAAAGATCGGGACCGGAGTGAAAAGGACCGTAGCGACAGGGATCGCAGCGACAAAGATCGCAGTGAAAAGGATCGCAGCGACAAGGACCGCGGTGACAGGGATCGAGACCGAAGCAAAGACCGGGACCGAAGCAAAGATCGGGACCGGAGCAAAGATCGGGACCGGAGCAAAGACCGAGATCGAAGTAGAGACCGCGATCGAAGTGATAGGGATCGAGATCGGAGTGATAGAGAAAAGGGCGACAAGGATCGTGAGCGTAGCGACAAGGATCGTGAGCGCAGTGATAAAGACCGTGGTGATCGTGATCGGAGTGAGCGTGATCGCAGCAAAGGGGATTACCGGAGAAGCCGCGAGACTGACCGGGAGCGTGAACGGAGCTCAGGCCGGAGCCACAGCTCGTTAGAACAAAGCTCGTCGGCTGTCGAGACCAACGGAGAGGTCTCCAAGGCCAACGGGAGCAGCTCACAGTCGTCGAAAGAGGACAAGGCGCTAGGCAAGGCGCTAGACAGGGCGCTGGACAATGTGCTGGACAAGGCTGAGGCACCCAAGCCCCCGGAAGTGGAGGAGGTCAGTGGGACGGCGTGATGAAGTGTGTGAGTGAGTGCATGCGTGTGGCAACCTGTGTACATAGCTACCGAGCGAAAGCGGTGGACGAAGCGCGGCTTTGCCAGTGCCACGGAGAACAGGCGACGACGCCGCGGCGTATTTTCAAAACAAATGCAGGCGCGAGACGCCCCCAATGGCCCTGCGCCGGTCGCAAAACCAAATAAAAGCAGCGTGATTGTTTTTGTTACATGAACGCGCCTTTGTATTCCTCCGCCGGGCTGTGGCGAACTGCTTGTCGTTCAAGTTCAAGAGATCACTCGAGACTGCGGCGCTCCTCAGGGTAAGTCGCCCGGCAGCGGCAACGTCGACTGCTCCCCTCCTGCGTCGCTCGGACTCTGAACTGTTCAACCGCGTCGTCGACGGGTCGCCTCCTCAAAGGTAGCTGCTTTACGAACTCCATCGGCACCTTGTCGACTCTTGTTCTGGTGTACCCAAGGAAAACATTCATTGCTACTAATTCGTGAAGTCATTGCATGGGGGAAGGGGGGGGGGGGGGGGGTGATTGTTTCATTTTTGTTTAGCTGTACGAAGACGTCAGAAATTGTGTGTGACCAATTTGACGATTAAGATTTAAAATGGGATCTCGGGATTTTTTTTCTCGGACGTTTGGAGTGTTTTTTTAGTGGCTTGTACGTTTGCAAACTAAAGAAATAAATAGTGTTGGTACTCGAAACTGCCGTGCCAGCCACACATGCTCATTAAAGACACGTCTTAACGCGCCTGTTTCTAGGTTCACGACCGTTTAATTTGTGGCGTGCGCTTAATGGGCCGCGAACGAGTCGTCACGCGTCGGTGATCGTTCGCGTCGTCACGCGCCGACGCGAACGAGACGTCACGCGTCGGCGAAGGGCCTATCATCCAACCGAGTATCGGCAAGAACCGTTATTCGAAGGGACAGTGAAACCTTTTTGGCTGTTTAAAATGCTTAGAACAAAACATTCGCAAAGCGTAGAATTGGAAACCAGTCCTCGTTTACAATCGTTAATACCTCAATGTGCATTTAAAAAAAAATTTTTTTTTAGGATCCTGGGTTTAGTCCCCACCCCTGCTCGTTTCGATCTGGATGAACATCGTATCGGCGTGCGGTCGTTTATCACTACTGCGTGACGCACGTTGAAGACCCCAGGCTAGCGGTTGTCCTGCACTGGCTAAATTTCTTATCTACAGCTGGGAGACAAGTCACTCGTTGAGGCGGACTAAGTTCTAGTCTATATAAACATACACACGCCCCAATTTATCTGGCACTTGCGCTGCTCGCGTCAACTTTCAGCGCCCGACTCCAGCGCGCGCGCGTCGAGCTTCACCGCTTTGCACCAGAGTGCTAGGAGCAGCAGCTGACACTGAGATGCGTCTGGGTTAGCGCGATCGGCTCGGAAATTAAGCTGAGTACCACTACTGGTCGACCTTTTGTGGTTTTGACTATAGGTTGACTTCTATTTCTAAAAAGATTGTGCCGAAAAGGGGAAAAAAAAAAAAAAAAAAACTGGTCTGTATTTAAATAAACACGTTAAATCAAGGCAGTTCCTGTGTAGTAGTCAAGGATAGCAAACTTTGACTCAACTCTGTTTCCAACGCCGGTAAAGCGCAGTGTCACTTCTAAAGCACAACTGAAGGCTTTCATAATATTTGGTGGTGGTGGTTTTTGCAGTTTATATGATCTTGAGTTTGGTAGCTTCATAAAGTTTGGGGAGGGGGGAGGGTCATTTTGTATTGATAGATTTAATTGCTTTAGCGGATATGCTGGTTTTTGCTGACATTTTACAATAAATACATAAACAGGCTAAATAAATTTCCGAGTAAAAGGAGGAGGGGGAGGGAGGCTTTATCTGAACTGAAGTGTTAATCTACATATATATGCTTCAGTTTAAACCATTGTAAATTGATTCAATCCATTGTAAATTGAATTTCCTACTCTGCACTATTTCCCTTTTCTAAGAAGAAGGCTATTAAAGGAGCTGTGCAACAATTTCAGGGCTTTGCTTGAATAATTGTGGAAGGTTATGCCTGACACTTCTAAAGTGAACTACAGAAAACAGATTTTGCCTGGATACCCTAGTTTTTATTTTTAAAAGTGAAAAAGATCCAGGTCTTTGCCACCTCTCAACTCGTACATCGTCTTCCGGGTCACGTGCGCAGTGACGTCGATGGGGTAGGCGCGTGGTTCCGGTAAAGTTCTCTCTTTAGAGCCATCAGTGAGCAGCGAGAACTCATCCGCTCGCTACCGCGTGACCACGTGCTGGCGGGCGCCGCGCGAACAATATGGTGAAAGGAGGAAAGACTCATCTGAGTCCGGCCACCGTGGTCCGGCCATACTCGTCCGGCCCTGTCCCCCTCCCCCTCTGGCTTCTGGCGGCTGTTCGCACTAGCGCTCAGAGCTGACGGTTTTGTGGACCTAGGATAGATGGCGCCACTGAAACTCCGTATAATGAAAGTTTTGTCGATGATACCAGGTTTTTGACGCATTGTTGGAACGTCAAGATTTATAGAAAAGTTTCCTTTTATCGAGCAGCTTTTCGCACAACTTGCTACCTTTCTACAAGATTCCCCATTGGCGTCATGCCGCGTGTTTCTCATGACCGCCGCTCGCGGCTGCAGGTCGGGGAATATTCTGTTTTGCCTCGCTATTACGCGGCGGAATCGGAACATTTCGATGAAAGGAGGTTCTGTATTCTGTCATTCTGTCATTTGTGACAAGGTGAACGATATCAAAAGCAGAAGATGCCAATTTTTTCAACGTTAAAATCGTTGCTCAGCTCCTTTAATATGGTTCAATATTAAAAAGATAACTTTAATAATTCTCACAAATGAACCAATTTAGCGATCCATGCAATCACAAATTTCATTTCCAAGATGTGGTAACAGATCTTAGCATCTGCTCTAAAAGTGTCTGAGGGTGCTCCAAACCAATTATTTTTGACGGCTACAAAACCTGCTACAAAAGGTCAGATACCGCTTCCATGACTGCGCTCAGCATTGCTTGCTTGGGACTCCCTGAACAAGAAAAGAACTCGATTGAAGGCCCGTCCTCGCAAACACGTCTGAAACCGTCTTTTCGCGTCCAAAATGGCGTCTTTCAGCTACGTCCGTCCGCTTTGGAACAATTATAGAGCTTCCTAAAAGTGCAATGACGGTGTAAAAAAAAAAAAAAAAAAATCCGGTAAAAGAAATTCGGAAACGACCGGGTACGACTGAAAAATGTAATTTTTGTCCACCAAACAAAAAACGCGCGGTGGTACGCGTGTCCGAGAAAGGCCTTTGGAATTTGTTTTATCTTGTCAACGGCAGCCTGCGTGACAGAACTTTCAGTCTAGTCTTCGCCCGCATCTGTGCGCTCTACTATGTACCACTTAACAAAGAAGAGAACACTTCACGCAAATGAAACCAAGGGCCCTAATCCAAACGGCGGAACCAAGTATAGGACCGGGACATCGTCGCCTGCTCCGATTAGTCAGCGGCCCGGAGCTGACAACTGTATGTTGTTAGCGAGCGTCTTTCCAAAGCACCAGCGTTTTTTTACGTCAGCCTAATTGATCCATTAGAGAGTTTTAGTAGACCGTTTTCGCTTTCTTGCTCCGCTCTATGGAAAGCGGAGTCGCCATCGCGCATGCGCGACCCGCTCTGGGCTTTGAGCGTGAAGCGTCAGCTCCGCTTTCCTCGCCATTTTAGGAAGCGCGTTCCACTCTCAGTAAAGCTTCAGTAGACGGTGTTTTTCTTGAAGGGAATTCGGAATGGGTGCTCGCCACTTGACAACATGTTTGGGAGCGCGCTTCGCCGTTGTGAACCTCGCTGCACTAAGGTGGCTGCGCAGACTTTGTTTCAAACGGCGTCATCCAGAAAACTGTGGTCGAGAACCTCCGGCTGCTTCGGGAAATCGCTGGCCGCAATCCTTTCAAGGCCCCTGAAAGATGGGAACAGGTGCTGCCTTGTCTAAGCCAGCGGGCTCGATTTTTCTATGCAAGCAGTCGGCAAACGGGCAGATATTTTGTCAGGTTACTTTAGGCAGCAATATAGTCCAAGTTAGCGAAAGTGAGTATCCATTTACATTTTTACTTTTTTGTTTTCCCAATGAAATTATTTTTTTCTTCTTCGTATGCCTCGGTTTGTGATAGGGCAACTTAGTGTTTATGCACACTGCGCGACAACGTTAGCGGGAACAATCAATCGTGTTTGCTTATTGGTGTGGAATAAAGCGCTCGTTTGGAGCACTAATGTGAGCGACAAAATTTCAGCTCTCGATAACTGTCAAAAAAATAAACTGCAAATAAAAGCGATTTTATCGTGTTCGTATTAACAGTGGAGCGCAGTGTACGTATCTGGGGGATTACTTGAAGCCATTTTGCTTGGCTACACTTCTTTTAAATTATTTTGTGTGTTTTTGAAAGTGCGTTTATCGTCTCGAGCTCCTGCCTAGTTTTAGCTTCACTTGTGCTATGGTGTCGATACACGCTACTTTTAGAATGCTGTAGTCAATAGTAACACTAATTTGATTAAATGCAATATTCACACGCACACCTGAGAAGTAAAATGACAGTCGTTAGTAAATGTTGTTTTATTAAATTGTTTCTAGATGCCCTTCAGCCTAGTTGGACAAGTATTTCGCTCAGTACAAAAGCTTGGATATGATTCGCTGTGTTCAGTTCACGCATTCTAATATTGAGCAAAAAAAAAAAAAAAATGTTAGACCCCTTGCATTATGCCCATGATCTTCGTAAAGTTCGTCCAGCTGACCAATTATGCCGTCTGCACACATCACTGCCTGGTACTTCACGACGAGCACCCTCTTGTGACCAGAGAAGTATGGCTTCTGATTCTTTGATGGACGGCCTATGGGCGTGCTGTGCGGTCAACGAAACCCCAATAGTTGCCCAGGGGTGTTCCCTTGTCTTTGACGGCCTAATAAAAAGAACATAAAGGCACACTTACAACACGGCAGTATTTAAACACTACCAAAACATGTGAGATGGGACTTGTTACTCATATAAGATAAAGCGTATTTTCATGGTAGGGTTGTAAAAAAATGTGTATCGTAAAAAAAAAAAAAAAAATAGTTGTTCCTTAATTCTGTTAAGCTCTGAGGCCGTCAAACTGTGCATGTGAGGCCCGCTACGCCGGAATTCAAAACGAAACTTCCTGGAAGCCGTTCTAATCTACCGTTATTGATTTAAGTCCAGCGTTGTGTTTACTAAATT